TAATTTCCCCACCTCCCATAAAGAGGAGGCCCATACCTTTTAAAACTCCTTTGTTCTCTAGTGGGTCCCTGCACAGGTGATGCCATCAGCTAAGGAGCTCGCTCACGGCCGCGTCAGCAAGTGGCTGTGTTCATCCATGGACAGACACAGCCCTGCGGCAGGCCACGCCCTTCCTCTTGGCCCAACAGGTTAATTGATGGCAAAAGGAGCCTATGGCTCCTTTGCCCTCAATCTCCTCCCTTACAACCAGGACGTTTCGATGGGAGGATCGCTTCGGGGCCAGTGGTGCTGACAAGTAAGGGTGGGGGGACACAGTAATGTACTGGGCATTTTTTACCTTAAACATACAGAGAATGCATTAAGGTAAAGAACGCCCAGCCTTTAGTACTTTAAGCATAGGAAAGATCTAAAACAAAATTATAGTATTTGACTTCTATTTGTTTCACCAGTATCATTTTGTCTGTTTTCAGAGTAATGATGGGGAAGAGCGATTGGCGGTTGTAAAACTTCTAGCAAAGCTGTTTGGTTCCAAAGACTCGGACCTGGCCAATCAAAACCGACCTCTTTGGCAGTGTTTTCTTGGACGGTGAGCATTTCTGTCAAGTATTTTACTAAAAAACAGTGTAGGGATTGTTGGTTCCGAGTCTTTTTTTCAGTTGCCTCCTCTCTAATAGCAAGGAATGCCATTGTTACAGATTATTTAAAAAATAGCAATTTAATTTTTGATAGGACAAAACTTGTGAGAAATGTCTAAACAATGAAAAGGAATACAGAAAAGTTTTCATTTGGTGTTCTTTAGTTGTGTAAACCTGTTCAATTAGAGGGCAGTGGTCTGTAGATTGGCTGCAATCCACACAACTTTATTGTTGAGGCTGGGCAGCATACACTGTAGAAACGGTAGAATTCATATTGTTTCATTACCATTGCTTATCTTTATGCCAGAATGTTCATTGTGCCATCGTGTTATAAATGCTTTAGTAAAGCTTGACATTTTGAATATTTGAAACTGTGTTTTCATTAAAGAACAATTAAACTCCAGAGCAAAATATAATATATTACAGCTTAGCAGCCATTAGATGTGGCGGCTGCTTTAGTTTCTATTTTTAGACTTTTTCTTTTTTCATCGTGTCAGTAACACACTTCCTATCCTAGTGTACCAACGCTCACTCAGCATACTGTTTCTGTAAAAACGCAACTTTGTCGCCCTGGGCCAGAAAGTGCTAGGACAATAGAATACCCCTATCCTCCCCTTCTCTCTGTAAAATGTCTCAGAAACTGAATTTATATTTGACGTCACCGCCAGAAAGTGTGATGTAACATCTTTTCTTCAAACAATTATGTTCACTGTTTTTCTCTTACATGAGCAAGGCTTGAAAAAGTTTAGGGTGTCTCACCAGTCAGTCAAAAATGTCACCAGTCAGCATGACCAGACTATAGCCTTGCAATTTATGTTAACATTTTTTGGGGGCAGATAGAGCTTTCTTTTGGTGATATATATATCACCACGGGGGGGTTCCCTACGTTATGTTACAAAACATCTATTCTTACCCATATTTTTGGTAAAACATAAAAGACAGGGTCACGTCGGGTAAAGAGACACCAAACATGTCAAGACTTAAAATTGCGTGCACCCCCAAAATCGCAAAAAACTACCACACTGAAAATTGGCCATAGGTGACGCTTAAAACGCTTTTACCGCTAATCAGTTTAGTGTTATCAGTAATTAATGGCCCTCAAATTATTGCTCACACTCCGACGTTCGCGGTTATATGCAACATGTGCGGTACAATGCGCGCAGTCGTTTTCGCACCAGACGCATATCTGCATGTGTATGTGGGGGGCGGAGGACTTAAAGCATTAAAAAAAATGTTATTTTGTTTTTTGTACTTTTTTTTTTTTTTACACAACTTTTTTGCCATAACATGGGGGACTAAGAAGCCCTCTATGTGATAGCAAATTTACATGACAGGTCCTCTTTATGAAGACATCAGGGGTCTCCAAGACCCCTAATGTCACCTAGGGACCTCCAGAGAAGCTGATGAAGCAGAGATCTGCTTCATCAGCTTCTGTAGCTGGAAAGTGACACTGTATGCAGGAAGTGATGTAATATACATCACTTCCTGCATTCCGGAACTGGAGAGTAGATCAAAGGGAGATAGTGTACTGATCTCCCTTTGATCTCCTGTCACAGAACCGTGCCGGGCACAGCAGATCTCGGGACCGGCAGTGACAGCTGCTGGTAATACAAGCGATCGGGCGTCTCGAGACGCTCAATCGCTTGAATGCAAAGCTCCCGGCAGGCCGTGTAATTACAACGGCCAGCCGGGAAGCTGCTCGTCGGGCTCCGCCATCCTCTCGTCACAGACGAGTGGATTTTTCAAGCCCTGTACATGAGTGTTAGTCCAATAAAAGAACTGTGCAGGTCTAATCTATATTTTTGTTTCAAGATCTTAACTGAGAGGAGTTCTAATGTGAAAACTAACTAAACTTTTAAAGTGGTCACCTTGCACAAATTGCTGTCTGTGCACTGCGAGTTGGTTGGGAGCAAAGTTCCCCTCAGTGACCGCATTAGAACCACTTAAGCAGCTAGGTTTGGTTTGTATGCTCCTGTATTATTTTTAGTTATATTTAATTGCCCCCTTTTGTCCTCTCATTGTAACTAGGTTTAATGATATCCATGTTCCTGTGAGGTTGGAAAGTGTCAAATTTGCAAGCCACTGCTTAATGAACCACCCAGATCTGGCTAAAGATCTTACAGGTAAGTTCTCTGAGAAATGGTGATCTGCCTTTTTTTGGCATTTTCTTGACTAAAACCCATTGTTTCTGTCCATCAAAAATCAGTACTTGGCTGTCTGGCCACTCTGCTGTTCCTCTGCACCGCCATGTGAATGTCTCCACTTAAGGAATACTGTGGTGTCCTCTCCCCATATCCAGCCTGCTGACTACAGGTCATCCCTCTGCTCTGCCTTGCTATCAGCATGTTCCTTTTCAGTACATTTACATTCAGTAACCCTTATTGACTCACTTCTCCCTCTTGGAAAAATAGGAGATTGCAGAAGGCTGATACCAGGTCAAGTTTAGTTACTTGTTACATTAAAAAAATATATTAATGTATGCATTGTTATGCAGAGAACACTCCAAAGGACACTTCAGACTCACAGCACCCCCTGTATTTTATGAATGACTCCTAAAATACAGACGCAGTGTGAAGTAAACACCGCAGTGTCCCATGGATGGCTATAGCCATTCTATTTTAAATAGGAGCCCTAGAGCTAACCAATCCGAAGAGGTAATATGTTGCAAATGTACGATTGTAATATGTTGCAAAGGATATGAATTATGGTTGCTTGTTTTTCTTCAATGCATGTGTGTATTTCTTTCCATTGAGGGACACCAGCAAGCAAAATAAACTCTAGTACAGCTCTGGTATAACCTTTACTACTACCAGCATGCCTTTTCTTTTTTTTTTGCTAGTGTGCTAGCAGGAATGAGCATCTTCTTTCAGTTCTCTGACTGTACCTGGTGTCCTTGGCACACTGTCTAGTAAGGGGTCTCTGAAGTGCTCCAGACAGTCTCATTAACTGGTGTTCCATACAGTGATGTTCCCCCTAAGAGTTAATGGTCAGCTAACGCACAGTATTAGTAGTTCAGTGATCTCCCTTCTCTTAATTAGACTTCCTCTCTCCAGCATGTTTCACTCATAATTTCCCTCATTTTTAAAACTGCTGCAGTTGAATAAAGAAAGCTCATAGAATCATGTGATGTAATAGCACTATGTATATGTGCACTCAGTGGTAATTGATAGCTGTGCTTCAGAAGCCCCCATTTTTTCCACTTTTCATCCTAATCGGGGAAATTGTTTATCCTCCTGTATGGATTACACATATTATTATCTTGTCTGGATGTGGTAAGGAATGTACCTCTCTTCCACGTCTTCCTTCCACAAGATGAAATCTTTTTGTTATCACTGGACAGCGACCTGGCTTCTAGTTTCACCGTTGCTATGTGGTTCAGGCAGATTATCGTTGAAGCCTATGGTCTCAAGGATCAGGTTTCCTATTTTCCATGTAAAGCAGGGCTGTGAGCTGCTCTTTTACATTTCAGCATCATCTTCTATTTCCCAGGGTAGTAAGGCTGGTATCTGGTCTTCAGTTCACACATTTTATACGTTTTACCAGGTGAATATTTGGGCCTCATTCGAAGCCTTTGCTGAGCCTGTTTGCTTTCTATTTTGGCAAATAGAAGCCCTCAGTTGGATAGCTTTTGGATATCCCAAAGCTTTAAGACTTCTGTTTCCATCGTTTTTTGTGCTCGAGCTAAAATCCCTTTCTTGGAGACACAGATCTCATCCTTCTGTGTTTAGCCTGGGTTCACACCTAGGCGTATCGAATATGCGCGCTTGTCGCACGTTTCGTGCCGCACGTTTTTACCGTGATTCGCTGTAAAAAAACGTGTGACAAATGCTTGTTTCCGAGGGCTACCTGTCTGTATCCCAGTGGATACGCGCGGCAAATACGCCCCAAATAAGCTCCTGTACTACTTTGGGCGCAGGGCGTTTTGCGGCGCGTTCCTACGCGCTGTATAACGCCCATGTGGGAACCATGCCCATAGGCAATCATTGGTTTTCACATGTTGAGTGTTTTACAGAGCGTAGGAACGCGCTGTAAAACGCCCAGGTGTGAACCAGGCCTTATGATCATGCTCGTGGTACTGCTGTACATGATTGTAGTAGGAAGGGTTATCCCAGGGCTGGCCTACAATTTTTTTAATTTTTTTTTTTGCTAGTTCTCAATTCTTCTGCAGGCATCAGTATAACCTGATTTTGCAGTGTGCCAAAATCCTATTTTGTGTATATTTTCTCTTAACTGTAGACGTAACATTTTCATATGTGTATATTGTCTGCAGAATTCCTGAAGGTGAGGTCTCACGATCCCGAAGAAGCAATCCGGCATGATGTTATAGTTACTATAATAACTGCTGGGAGGAAAGATCTTTGTCTAGTAAATGACACGCTGCTTGGGTTTGTGCGTGAGAGAACATTGGATAAAAGGGTAAGACAGCTCGAATATCGCCTTCTTTGCAATGTGAATTGTAACAGGTTTGCCTTTTTAAATGAGGATTGCTGAAAACAGGTTTACTGCTTGTATGTTGGTTATCATGTTGCTTTGTGTTTTTGTTTAATCTCTTATTTCTTAAGTTTTATAAAGCACAAACACTCTCAGCCTTTGGAATGTCGAGGAGCTTGTCTCGTGCAATTTGGCAATAGTGTAATTTCTAAATTTAATTAATATCTGAATTTATAGCTCAAATGTAAACTAAGTAAAGAGAAGGCAACGGCTTAATAATTAATATTACTTATATTTAGTACCATTGTGCTAGTAGGCTAGCAGTTTCTGCATTCGCTTTTAAATGACCCCTACACCAGCCTGAGCACTCAAAATCTTAAGGTGCTACATCATGTAAGTTTAGTACTGTTAAGAGCTGACAACATTTCATAGTTACATAGTATTTGAGGTTGAAGACATTAGTCCATCAAGTCCAACCTATTAGGATCTCATTCTAGGAGTAACTGTACCCCTGTATATTACGGTCCCTTAAGAAATCGTCCAAAAGTTTCTTGAACAATTTCAACCACATTCCACATCAGTGCCTCAGGACTTGAATAGCTGCCCTTTAAATGTGCACCACTATTGGATGTTTGTTCAGTTCGCCATGACAGCGAACTGAACAAACCTAAAAAACATGACAGGGCTGTACAGCCATTGGATCGCTTGTACGGTGCAGCGCTCTGTGGTCCCTAGGTGCCATTAGGGGTCTGAAAGACCCCTGATGTCTCCATAAAGAGGACCTGTCCCATTATATTTACTATTACATAGGGGGCTTGTTAGCACCCTATGTGATAGCAATAAAGTTGTGCTAAAAAAAATATCAAAAGTAACAAAACAAATGTAAAAAAACTATTTTTTAAAATCGCCCGTCCCCACGTGCATACACATACAACGTAAACACGTGTCGGATGCGCCTACGTGCGGAAAATAAAATTGCGCGACACATTACATATTGTCGCAAACACCGGAGTGGAATCAATAATTCCAGGGCATTAATCACTGGTAACACTAAGGCCCGGTTCACACCTGTGTGTTTTACAGCGCTGTAAAACGCTCAACATGTGAAAACCAATAATTGCCTATGGGCATGGTTCCCACCTGGGCCTTTTACAGCGTATAGGAACGCCCTGAAAAACGCCCTGCGCCCAAAGAAGTACAGGAGTACAATTTTATTTTTTTCAAAATAGAGAAAATAAGGGGGGAAAGAATCATACCGCCTGTGAAACGCGCGTTTCACTGAACGGAAAAACGTGCTAAACAAGCTGAAAAAATACGCTCAGGTGTGAACCCAGCCTAAACTGATGAGCAGTAAAAGCTTTTAAAGTGTTGCTTATGTGACATTTTGGGTATTGTAGTTTTTGCGGTTTCACGGACACACAATTTTAAGCCTTGACATGTTTGGTATCAATTTACCCGGTGTGATCCCATCTTTTATATTTTACAAACAAATTGGGTATTCTATTCTGTTTCTGTGCACTAAATCTCATTTTAGTGTATTTTATCCTAAAAATACTGGTTTGATAAACATTTGCACAAATAGCTTACAACAAAGAAAATTGCAACTAGCATTTTTTTTTTACTCTACAGGGCCTCTGCTTTCAGAAAATATATCATTGTTGGGGGTCTGAAACCGTTTTCTAGCCAAAAATTTATCGTGTGTGGGTGCAAATAGAAATTGCTCTGGCCAGGAGGTGGTTAACGAGACTTCTGCCTCTTCTGCGGGAGATGCCTCACTTCATTTTGATCTCTGCAGATAAGAAAGTGGAATATCTTTTCTGTTCCATTTTACCCCATAGCTTGTATGCTTAGCTACCTTACTTGGTTGTGGTCTTACTGGCTTAGACTATCATTGAGTGGGCCAAGATTCTGGGACTGGACTTGACTTTGACTGGCTCACAGTTTGTATTTGAATATTAAATGCTTTGTCCTTCAGTGGACTCCTAGAAAAGGAATTTTATGGTACAAGTACGGTAATACAAAGTATCATGTTTTTGTAGTAAGCAGCAATGTACTTTTTTTTACAATTACAAATGTATAATGCAGCCATGGATCAATCAGTCGTAATTCCTGAGGTAATGGGGTCAATTCACAAAGCTCAGCGTTATGAGAGCAGAAGTTAATTTATCCTTTTTTTACCACTCTTTATTTTGCTTGCTGAAACATGCAATTCACAAAAGTTGGAATCGTGAATGCACACACATTTTAACGTTACTTAAACAAGTGTTATTTTAGCATCACATACTTTATTTTATCTATTACTGTGATAAACTAACGTTGTGGGTGTTATTTTAACACTTTTGCAGTGCAATTTGGTAGCAGAAGGGGTGGAGCAGATGCCTAGATGACTGTTACTTTCACCACACAAGAATTCCACATATAAGGAAGAGATATATTCCATATTTGCCACATGCATACTAATTTTAAATTTATCGAGAAGAAATCATATAGAAATAACAATAAAAAAATTTCTGAACGGAATGAATATATGAAACATTAGATTTATTTAGATCGATCTGCATCTGTTGACAATCAGACAGTGCAGGGAGGGCAAGCAATTCTCCTGCCCACCTAAAGCCTTGTTTTTGATATTACATTTGTTGTATGGAACAATCCACTTCACTTATTCTGCAACACCACTTAAGAGTGTCCAGGGACATTTTATTTTTCGTGTTATGTGAGATTTGCCACTAACCTCTAACTATAAAAAAAATCCACATTTTGTAGAAGGATAAAAGCTGTAGAAATGACAACTTTTGCGTTCTTCTTCTGAACGCAAAAGCATTAAGCAATGTGAAAATGAAGACAAAAGGTTCAATTTCTATCTACCTCATGTCATCTGAGTGCACCAAGCATCAGATAACGCCTGAAATCTGTCATAACGCCACCCTGAGGGCTTGTTCACGGGACGTTTGTTTTTTGTGCTGACCTGATCCGTACGCTCCTGCACTAAAAATGCATCCCAATGTATCGCTATGTGTTTTATGGGCTACAGTTCTCACGTGCGCAGTCCGTTCACTCCAGAAAAACGCATGTCACATTTTGTACGGTCAGGAAACGCAAAACGTGTCAAACGCACTGCAGCTAACATACTGACAGCCCCACTCCAGAAAAACGCATGTCACATTTTGTACGGTCAGGAAATGCAAAACGTGTCAAACGCACTGCACTGCAGCTAACATACTGACAGCCCCACTCCAGTTTTTTTTAGCTGGAACGCGGCAAAAAACACACTGCATCAGTAGCACCGCGTCTGCAGATCCGCACCTGATCAGGACCTGATATCATGTGAACAGGCCCTAAAGGAGGTGATAAATCTACGTCTCAATAACTAGTGATAAAAGGACCTTTTTCCTTTTGTGAATTGCATTTCAAGCATATTTTATCACTCCAGTTGTTAAAATAACGTCTGAATAGTTAATTTACTACTTAAAAATAAGAAGCGTTATTGAGTTTTGTGAATTGACTACCTTTACACAGCAACTATATAACCAGCGATATCAATGAAATAACGGCCGAAATGAAGAAAATAAGCTTTGTGAATTGACCCCATTGTGTTTTGTAGAGTGACATTGTCCTCAAGGTATTGTTGCCAACCAGTCTCTTAACAAGTTCTTTCTTGCACTGTAGTGGAGAGTAAGAAAAGAAGCAATGATGGGTCTTGCCCAGCTATATAAGAAATACTGCCTGCATGCTGAAGCTGGAAAGGAAGCTGCAGAGAAGGTGAACTGGATAAAGGATAAACTTCTACATATTTACTATCAAAACAGCATTGATGACAAGTAGGTATCTGTTTTAAACTTGGTCAGAATGCGTGAGAAATTTTTGTATAAATGTTGGCGTCTAGAATGAAGAGGATCCCCCCAAACTGTTCTTTGGGGGGGATCGGAGGCCTTTTTACCTGCTTGTCTTAAGTGAAGAAGCTGTTCTTGTTGGACACAGAACATTGGCAGAATGAAAGAACATTTTTTTCTGGCACAAGGACATGTCTTTGTGACTTATTAATAACTTGTAAAATTGTGTTTGCAAAAATAAAAAACATTTACAATGTACAGTTATAATCTAGCTCATACCTATTTTTGCTTCCGATTTGCTACCAATTTAGTCTGCCTTTATGTTTGTTTAAATCTTAAGTTAAAAAAAAAAAAAGCAAGAAAGAGCTCTTTTTTTTTTTTTCTCCCGGTTACAACATCATTATGCTCATTAAATTGGCAGTCAAGGCAGCAGCAGTTTTACGGGGAATGTAATGTAGGCATTTGAAGAAAAACAGAGTGGTAGGCGGAGTTCTGTAGTAAAGTGGACAGGATCTACAACGCTGGTTAGGATTTTAGTGCAGAAAAGGACTGTGTTGTGTCAGCCCAACAAGAGGTTAGGAGCACACTGGATTTCTGGCAGATCAACAGATTATTTTTGAACGGAAATGACATAAGGACATGTGCGTGTTTTAGAGAGATGTACTTTAAGCTGCCATTGACAGACATGTTGACTAGTAAACCTTGCCACAGCGAATACTGCTGACTAATGATAAAAAAAACAAACAAAAGTGTATCTACTAGACTGAAATTACATTTTGGAAACCAAAAATAAAAAAAGTCCAACCGTAACTGAAAATATTTTTTTTCCGAACCTTTTTAATTTTTTAAAAATATTCTAAACAGACTCCTGATATTTCCCTTTTTAAAATAGAAAAAGCAGCCCCTGTTATAATGAACAGGAATCCTCTATACTGAGTGTTCCTGTTCATTCATAACTTGTGGAGATAGTGTGTTTACCATGTACACAATCATGAATGAACAGGAAGTGATGTAATCACTTTTCATTTATTCATAATTAGGGAATGTCATGCTCTGTCCTCGATTATTTACAAGCTGTGTCACAGAGCAGTGCCCAGTGGGAAGGAGAGAAACAAGGCATGCACCACAATTTCGGCCACAGGCTCCAGCAGCAGTTTGTTTTTTATGGATGGTAGATAAAATGTAGGCCGTAGTGTGAAGTAATATAACTGCATAAAGGCAGTTGTCCCGTGTTAACTGTATGGACCAGGGGTAGGCAACCTCGGCTCTCCAGCTGTGCTGAAACTACAAATCCCATCATGCTTCTTCCTCTGGGAGTCATGCCTGTGGCTTGCAATGCCTTATGGGATTTGTAGTTTTAGCACAGCTGGAGAGCCGAGGTTGCCTACTCCTGCTTTACATCGTAGCGATTAGGGATTCACCGATACCTGTTTTTCGGTATGGAGTACCCATATTTTTTGTTTGTCGCCTGGCTTCCTGACTGCCTGTGAAGCCGGTGTTCTAGCGAAAGAACACCGGCTTCATTTGCTGAGGCTGCCTTGCTTCCTGACCAATCAGGAAGCTTAGGACATGAGTCATGAGGTGCCATCCAGCTTCCTGATTGACTAGGAAGCCGGCTACAATCGTTCCTAGGCAGCCTGGCTTCCTGACCAATTCGGAAGTTCCGGTATCTGCACCGATACCAGTATTGGTGCATCCCTAATAGTGATGTATTTCAAACAAAGTGCATTTACTCTTTTAGCTCCTTTTCCTGACCTAACGTAACCCACCGTCCCCTTCAACAGATGCATACTAGGCTGGGTTGTTGCATATAAAACCAGCATAAATCTGATGAATTGATTACTTGTAATACTGTAACAACTCTCTCTCCCTCTTTCAGGTTACTTGTAGAAAAGATATTTGCTCAATACCTTGTTCCTCACAATCTGGAAACGGAAGAAAGAATGAAATGTCTCTATTATTTGTACGCTAGCTTGGACCCTAATGCTGTAAAGTGAGTGATGAATGATGTGGATCTATTCTGTGCTGTCATTTTGCATAAAGTAACAGTTTCATAGCCTGTATACCTGGAAAGCAGCTGTAAAAGTTTGACACTTTAAAAAAAGCTAATCTTTGTAGAGATTTGTCTGAAATCATGTTGTATATGTATAGTCAGCTGGTGTTTTTATTCTTTAACATGTGTAGTTTAGTTATGTATGTTTTATTTTGTGTATGTCCAGGGCACTGAATGAAATGTGGAAGTGTCAGAATATGCTGAGAAGTCATGTCCGGGAGTTGCTAGACTTACATAAACAACCACCTGTAAGTTTATACAGATTCATGTGCCTTGTCTGTCACGGTAGTCCTTTTAGGGCCATCTGCTCATAGCTTGGATTTCAGTAGTTGAGACCCAATATTCTTATGTTTGTCTGTTAGAGATTAGGAAATTTGTCTAAAAAGAAGAATGACAGCAACCGCCATTGGTAACATCAGTCTGAAAAATGCTTATTTGTCTGCCTGTAATGCTGACCCACTAGTTTCACTCGTTTTGTCACTGGCCCAGAACAAGTATACAGAATCGAGAGAATCCGAGAAAGTCAGAAGTCTTATCTGAATTCTTGCTCTCGATTAGTGACTCCCTCCGTATTAAAGCACAACAGTCTGGCACCTAGCATTTTCAGAAGTAAGGTCAGCAATGGCATTCCCCATTTTATTTTTCTTACAGGTTTCTTTTAAAAATATGCTTGCAGGATTTTTAATCTATTCCTAGAGGAGCTTTCTTCACACTCCGAGTCCATTTTGATTTAAATTCAAACTCCAGGAAAAAAGAACTTGCACACCACACTGGCTGTTTAAATTATCACTAAAAAGCTGTATGTTGCGTGGAGGGTTTCTGCAAAGTATAAAAATCTTATCTTGATGCATGCCAGCTTCCTGGTGCTGTTGGGATTGAGGGATGCGATCCCACACCCCTGACCCTCCTCACTACTTGTCCATTCACAAAATGCTTTGTATTTTTCTACAAAAAAAAATGCAAGGTGTTCTGTGGTTATAGAAGTGGTCACATCCCTGCCCCTCCTCTCCAAGTCTGGCTTGATAACCGTTTTCAATATGAACCTCCTTTACTTTTTAGATGTGCACAGCTGAATTTTACGGATACACACCTATGTTGTCTGTCTAAATGTTTCTCTCTTTCCTGCAGTCAGAAGCAAACAACACAGCCATGCTTGGGAAGCTGATGACAATAGCAAGTGAGTATTTGTCATACTTACCACAGCCTAGAGATTTTCTTTGGCTCCTTCTGCTCAGGTGGACAGTTTAGGCACAATATGCAGATGGTGCAGGTGTGTTTTTTAAAGTTGTACCACATAATGTTGATATCCTTTGCAGTAAAACACTGCATTCAGACCTTGAAAATGGTGTGTGCAGTCTGACTTTTAACGTATCTCATTTACATATAGTACGATATTTTAAAGGCCCTCTGTGTGGTGGAGGAGAGAAGACAAAATCTGCAGCAGTTGCCCATGGCAACCAGTCAGCTTCGATCTTTAATTTTCAAAGCTTAACTGAATTCAACTGAAGCGATAAGCTGATTGGTTACTATGAGCAACTGCTCCATATTTTGTCTTTAGTTTTGAAAAAAATTCCCCAATAAGCTTACTCCAGACCTGTATATTGTTCTCTCTGTACTGGACCTATCATTCCTGAAGCCAAGGCAAAGACCATATCAAGCAAATGTTTTGGGGGTTTTTCTCTCTCTCGTCCAATGAAGTACACGGGAAGTATTAAACCTTCGAGTTATACTGATCTGTAGAGGAGGATTGTACACTAGGAAACAAAACCCAGCCCAGGTTATACTCCTACTACCAGAATGCCGCAGTTTTTCCTCGAAGGATGAACGTCTTTTTCACCTGTGCTGGGAAAAGTTCAACCTTAATTTGCTAGCATAATATTTTCTAAAATATTTTTTCTTCACTACATCACTGCTAGTGCTGGTCCTGTTGTGGGACTAGCCTAGAAGTAACATTCAGGCACTGACTTCTGCGTAAGGCGATTTCCAGGTTCATACTGCTTTGGCATTGCCTCTGTGCTGCGCTTGCCTTGACTTTCAAGACCACCACCTGCTGCCAGTGTTTGGGTTTCATAAGTACCTGGGTCCTTGCCACTAGCTTGAGCCTCATGCTTAACTGCCATGTGGTCATAACTTCTGATACTAGGCACTGGTGGTGACAGTCCCACTGTAGTGGGTGCCCCTAGCTCACACACTAATGGCTCCGGTGCTGCTTGCAGTGAACTCTTAAGTCCCCATTCACACCTAGGCGTATTGTAATATGCGCGTCTGTCGCGTGTTTTTTTTACCGCGATTCACGGTAAAAAGTCGCACGATTCCAAAGGCTACTTGGCTGTATCCAAATGGAAAACGCCCTACAAAACGGCCCAAAGTAGTCCCGGGACCTTTTCAGGCGTGGACCGTTTTGTAGGGCGTTAGGGACGGGCGGAAATACGCCTAGGTGGGAACGAGGGCATTGACTACAATGCTATTTATTTTTTTGACCGTTTTGTAGAGCGTTCGTCGAGCATAGGACGCGCTACAAAACGGTCAGGTGTGAACGCAGCCTAATGCAGCTCATGACTGTAGCCATGAATCATGTGGCCCTCTGATCCTAGAGTCTTCCCTTTCTTGAGTCTTCACTAGCCCCATCGGGTGTTCTCGCCTTTAGCCCTTTCAGCTGAAGTCTTTACTGTAGCCAGGAGTGACTTAAATCACCCAGTTATTTGTGGAATCTGACTGCAGAGGTCACAAGCGCACTCCTGTGCCTTCCCCTGCAGATATTATGTTTGATCTGCCCTGCCTTTGTCACTCTAGTCCTTACAGGATGAGCTTACCTTCAAGGAGTCGCAGTCCTTCTGCTACTATTCCAAATTAAGACCCTTTTGTCGATGTGATGCACCCCCTATTGCAAGGCTTCCTCTATAGAGATGGATACACACCCTAACAAGATGTTTGGTCCCACCAAATGCTTGTTAGCCTTAAATCCATTTAAAGGGGACTGTTAAAGTGTTCTACCCCCACTGTGGGTCCGGCAGTGTCCCACCATAAAGTGAGCATGGTTCCGCTATGGGATGTGCCACTTTAAAGTGTATTTCCACCTTTGCAGTCAAATTTGAGAAACCCCTCTTATGTTGTGTTCCCATTCACACAGCGTATTGAATATTTTCTAATCGCACCTTACTCTTGTCCTGGTTTCACTTTGTTTTGAATTTACTAATTTCCTTCCACCAGAAATAAAAGCTGCCTGTCTAATGTGTGTCTCAGTGGCCAGTAATATAAACACACAAATTGCCCTGCACACTTACTAGCTAGCCTGCAAAGAAAGCTTACAGTCTCACGACTTGCGTTATATGCAGAGGTTTTAGTTGCACAACTTTTGCAAAATATGTGGAAGGCACACTGCTTTAGTGGCCAATGAGGCATTCTTATTGGACTGTGATGACAGGTGGGCGGGGCTAAGCTCCAAAGTAGGGGAAGTTATGTTCATCAGAATAAATCGAGGGTCAGCAGAGTTTTTTTTTTTTTCCCCTGTTATATCCAGGCAAAAGCAGGGGCCATTTAATGCTTGCTTTGGTAGCATGGTTATAATTTAAAGGTTTACTTTGTGTCGTATACCATTTGTAATATTTAAAAATTACCAGCTTAGAATTTAAATTCTTCTTGTTGATTCATAGAGAACTTACCAGACCCGGGGAAAGCACAAGATTTTGTCAAGAAATTTAATCAGGTTTTGGGAGATGATGAGAAACTTAGGTCTCAGCTAGAAATGCTCATAAGCCCAACGTGCTCCTGTAAACAAGCAGACGTTTGTGTGGTAAGAAACCTTCATTGCAGCTTTATGATATGCATGCTTTCACTGTAGCCATCAAAGAATGAACATACCAAAAGAAGTAATGACAGATGTTTTCTTTATATATTTTTGTATGTGTTTTTTTATTTGACAAAACATTTATCAGATTGCATGTTTTAATCTTAGAGGGAAATTGCTCGGAAACTCGCGAATCCAAAGCAGCCTACAAACCCGTTCTTAGAAATGGTGAAATTCTTATTAGAAAGAATTGCCCCAGTCCATATAGATTCAGAGGCTATCAGGTATGTAACTGGTTTCCATTTATACAACTAGTATTCTTTCTATAAAAAACTTCTTTTGTAAATCAAATCTTACATGTGGGTTCTGGTTGTGAAGGTGTGTTGATGTGTGAGTGAGATGTTTGCTTGGGTCTGTGTTTATGCAGTTGCTGTAGTTTAGGAATACTCAAATCTGTGAAAACGTACTGTATGTATCAACACAAAGGAAATGTGTGGTTTCTTGTTAACAATTTTCATTGTAAGCAGTTTTATGTTGTCATTTTATAAATGTTCCCTCATCCTATGCTCATACTGTCTGTTTCAGTGCATTAGTCAAACTGATGAATAAATCTATTGAGGGTACAATTGATGATGAAGAGGAGGGTGTGAGTCCTGATTCCGCAATAAGAGCAGGATTAGAACTGCTAAAGGTAAACAAAGCTATGCAAAAATATAATGGGCAGCAAATTAAAAAAAAAAAATGTTTTTTTCTTTTTAATTGGTAGCTGTAAATTAAAATGTGTTGCTGTGCCCAAATAAGTGTAACCTCATTATAGAGAGATCATTTTTTCCAACATTAACTTACAACGGAATATGACATTAGGACTTAATGGGTACCCAAAGCATTGTTGTGGTTTTTATACTGCAGGCTGCTGGTTTTATGCACACAGGATATGTGGTAGAAGTGGGTGAATTTCCACTAGAATGTCACTATAGCTTTTCTGTTCCAAACAGGCTCACAGCCGCAATAGAACTTTAATGGCATTCAATGGTGGTGCTCCACCCCTATGCCACTTTTTTTCCGCAAATATGTGGGCCCACACACTTTTGAGACGTGGCATGTTTGGTATCCATTAACTCAGTCTTTTATATTTAACAGAAAACGTAAAGATAATGGGGGGGAATTTATCAAAACTAGAGCAGACAGAATCTGGAGCAGTTGTCCAAGTAACCAGTCAGCTTCTCTCTTCAGTTTGTCCAGTTTAGCAATAAAAATGAAAGATAGAAGCTAATTGTTTGCCATGGGCAACTGCTCCAGTTTGTCTGCTCCGGTTTTAATAAATTCCCCTCAATGTTTTTTTTTTTTTTTTTTTTTGTTTCTGTGCACGAAAATTCATTTGAATGTACTTTTTACTGAAAATGTAGATATGATAGAGATGTGCAAACATTGTGCAACATAAAATGCTAGCACTATAATTTTATTTCACAGGTCCTCTGTTTTCAGAAAGTTTACATTATTTTGGGGTTTTAAGCATGTTTTCACAAGCAAAGGTGCATTTTAGCATGTGTGAAAACTAACAGGGTTATTCACAGAAGGGTGACGAGTTTGGAGAAGGCAGGAGAAGTGAACAATCTAGGACAACATAGCTGATTTGGAAATATTCTCCAATTCAGCTCACTTTCCAGTTCAGCTATGTTTTCCTAGATTGGTAACTTCTCCTGCCTTCTCCAAACTCTTCACCCTTTAGTGAATAATGACTTGCATGCATTAATTGGTTGTCATATGTACATTTTTTTTCTTTTTCATTGGGGTTATGTTATCCATTAAAATAATTCTTAATAAGTTAAACATGTTTACAGTATCTTATTTGTGTGATTATTCATAAAATCGTTTATGTACTTGTTTTATATAAGTGAGGTGGTGAGACAAATGCACTAATTCTGTGTGATAATCTGATGCTTAGGTGTTGTCCTTTACCCATCCGACTTCATTCCACTCTTCAGAGACGTATGAATCATTACTTCAGTGCCTTCGTATGGATGACGACAAAGTGGCAGAGGCAGCCATCCAGATATTTCGCAATACTGGGCACAGAATTGAAACCGATGGGGAAATTAGGAAGACATGTTCCACCCACTCAGTGGTGCCTACATGATCTTAATGATGCTGGGAAAGATGGTGCGCCTGTGGCGGCCCTCTTCTAACTTGGCGTTGGATTCTGTACAGAGTGGTAGTACACCTTGCCCTTACTTTAGCTGCCAGTATGAGAAACTAAGTCATTTCAAATACAGAGCCTTGGAATTCACACATCATTGGGCATTAAAACAGTAAAATCTAACTTTATTGGAGTGGTTACAGATGAGCTTTAACAGTGGCATTCTGCAGTTTGTGCTGTAATTAGTCATGCTTGTTTTAAATGGCTATAAAATATGTATTAAATGGCTATAAAATATGTATATAGACCTTCAGTTCAATTGGAAGTATGCTGGCAATTTAACATGTCAACATAAAATGTCAACAGGTGGTGCTTTTTGCACTTAAAAAAAAAAAATATTGGGATAAATGCTTGTGGTTTCTATCAAATGATTAATGATTGTATTTAAATTGGTTTCTGATTTGTGAAAGACATTAAAACTTATTGATGGAAATGTATCCAAACTGCAGCAGACAGAATCTGGAGCAGTTGCCCATGGCAACCAATCAGCGTCTCTTCAGTTTGTTCACTTTAAGCTTTGATAATGAAAGAGATGCTGGTTACTCTGTGCAGCTGCTTTAAATTCTTTCTGCTCCGGTATTGATAAATCCCCCCCTTTGTGTATAGGAGCTTGTTGGATGTGCTTGCTATGAATTCTAGCTTCCTATTAGGTTATGTGATTTGTATTCTGCTGTTGTGGTATTGAACATGCAACATTAATCCTGATATCTTGTCATATCTCTATTCTTTAGCCTCTCAGCCGAAGTCTTAATGCAGATGTGCCTGAACAGTTAGTAACTCCTCTAGTATCACTGGGTCACATTTCCATGCTGGCTCCTGATCAGTTTGCTTCTCCAATGAAGTCCGTGGTGGCAAATTTCATTGTGAAAGATCTTCTAATGAATGATCGGGTGAGATGCAAATATTTTTGCACTTTGTATTCATTTCAAATGTAGGTTATTGAATTCTAACGAGTTACATTTGTTTTTTCCCTGTAGTCAACTGGAGACAAAAATGGAAAGCTCTGGTCCCCAGATGAAGAAGTTTCACCAGAAGTTTTGGCTAAAGTATGATTTACACACTATTTTACCAGCATTTCACAAATCCCTTTATTGGTCTTTCTTTCTAAATCTTTTATGCATTTTTTGAATAGTTTTGTACATGTTAATCTTCATTAATAGCTAATAAAAATGGACTTCTCATCTGTATGTTACTTCTGACTGTAGGTACAAGCCATAAAACTACTGGTGCGTTGGCTCCTAGGGATGAAAAACAATCAGTCCAAGTCTGCAAACTCCACATTGAGATTGTTGTCTGCCATGTTGGTCAGTGAAGGAGACTTGACAGAGCATAAGAGAATTAGGTGAGATATAATGTAGCGGCAAGGCTTCAGTGACTACATGTAAAGCTTTTTTCATGAACTACAGCTTTTGGTTGCCACTAGGGATGCACCGATACCAATACCTGTATCAGTGCCGATACTGAGCATTTGGGCAAGTACTCGTACTCACCCAAATGCTTCCGATACTAGCCCTGATACCGGATCTTCTGGTCAAAGGAACATTGCCTCTGACCGGGAGTGTGGAGCCGGCTTCCTGGCCAATCAGGAAGCCAGTCCGTGGCTCCTGACCTGCCTCCTGGCTTTCTGATTGGAAGAGGGAGCCGACTTCACGCTGCCTAGCGACATTGCGAGGAAACCTGGCTTCCTGACCCACCTCCGGCTACCAGATTGGTCAGAAAGCCAGGGAGCATGAAGTTGGTGTGCTTTTGATAGAACACCGGCTCCCCAGGTAGTCGAAAGCACACAGGCTTCATACTCCCTCACAATGCAGCTTGACTGCCTGACCAATCAGGAAGCCAGGCTGGTTGCAGTGTCGCTAGTCAGCGTGAAGCCAGCTTCCTAGCCAATCAGGAAGCCAGGTGGCATGTCATGACCCGCGACCCGGCTTTCTGATTAGCCGGGCCCACGCTACCTCGGGATTCCGGTATCTGTATTCGGTATCGGCAGGTATAAAAAAAATATATAAATCTCGGTACTTTTATGCCAGAAAAAACTGTATAGGTGCATCCCTAGTTGCCACCTTTTATTGGACAATTTCCTTCTCTGCTTTGGTTTTTGACATCACCTGCTTTGTGCTTACGATTTCTTCCCCAGGAGGGATAAGGATTGTCCTTGGCGCTTTTAGACCATAAACTTTTCTATATCACCTGCTTTCTGTAAGAGGTAAATTATGAAATTGTATGTGTATCTTTTCATATGTACCTCACTATAAAATAGTGAAAAATACCCCAAAACACTGCACATTTCTATTCATGTCTTAACCCTTTTACTGCCACAGCTGTTTTTGTAAAACAAAAATTTGCATACATTATAACCCACATTTTAGGCCTGTAAAAGATCCCCCCAAATTTCTTGTACAATATAAAAGAGTTGTGCTGCATAAATACCCAACATACCCAAGCGTATGTCCGCGAAACGGCGAGAAAATATGGTACCTCAAATTGTCCATAGGCTCGATCAGCTTTTTCCCCATCTTCTCTAGCTGGGGAATGACCGCTCACAAAGCGGAAGTGACGCAATCGGCATTGCTTCTGATTTCATCCAGCAGGGAGAGATCAGCGAACAGATGTTTTTTGGTATCTCTTCCCTTGTACTGGCCCCTGAAAGCGATCTGGCAGCTTTTCAGCCACCAGAATCCCTTCCTGTGTAAAGCCCACAGTCGGCTTTACACAGGTAAATAGCCAGGAGTCTGTTTACAGGTGCCTGCTGACAGTAAGTATAGCATACGTTGTTGGCAGCAAAAGGGTTAAACTGACTATGCACATTTACAATTTACTTTTATCTCCTAACTATGTAGTGCAAAGAGCTGCCTGATTGATTACAGACTGAGTGGAATAATTAGGTATACTCCGGCATTACATGGTTGTATTAAAACTAAGGAGGGTGTGCAATCAGTTTGTAAAATGTATGGCCAATTTTATTTGAGCAGCCATATGTCTCGTATGGCAACACTTATTGTAAAGTTGTTGTTACCCCCTCTATCATTATATACATACTGGACTCTTGGTATGCCTGCAGTTTATGTATACATGAAATATGTTCAGACTATACATTGATATACCATGTACAGTAAGCTCTGTTAAAACTGGACTATGTGGCGCTTGTTAAAATATCACTGCTATGCTATTGATGCAGTATTTGTATAAATCACATACTGAATAATTAGTCATGATTTTTTATGACGAATATTGTCCTTGTGTTTCAGTAAGTCAGATATGTCTCGCCTGAGATTAGCAGCTGGTGGAGCCATTATGAAGCTGGCCCAAGAGCCTTGTTACCATGAAATTATCACTCCGGAGCAGTTTCAATTATGTGCATTGGTAATTAATGTAAGTTTTTTTTTTTCCAGTAAACTAAAGTGTAAAAATGCTATTCAGACGCTTTTGAAAACAATCAATACTTACACTATATTGCCAAAAGTATTGGGACACCCCTCCAAATCATTGGATTCAGGTGTTCCGTGAAATGTTCTTGGTACTAAATATTTCGCGGTCACCTGTTAGTGGTATTATAACAAAGTGGAAGCAACTGGGAACAACAGCAACTCATCCACAAAGTGGTAGGCGACGTAAAATGACAGAGCGGGGTCAGCGCATGCTGGAGCGCACAGTGGCAGAAGTCGCCAACTGTTTGCAGAGTCAATAGCTACGGACCTCCAAATCCCATAGACACACTCCTAAACCATGTGGACGCCTTCCCAGAACAATTGAAGTTGTTATGGCTGCAAAGTGTGGGTCTACTCAATATTGAGTCCTGCGCACTAAGACTGGCATGCCAGTAAAGTTCATGTGCGTGTAAAGGTAGGCATCCCAATACTTTTGGCAATATAGTGTATCTCTTGCTCAGGCAAACAAAATATTTTCAAAAAAAGCTTGAATTCCATTAGGCTTTCTGCTTCGTTCTTTATCGCCCTGCATAGGGGGAAAAGCAAATCTTCTCAACATTCTTTGGAGGACACAGCAGACTACTAAGTGTGTACTGCATGCCTCCAACATGCTTCTTTAAGGTAAACTGACTGGATCATCTAAATTAAAATCGTACAGGACATGGGATCCTTTAAAGTGACACTAAACTTGGGAGTTGAATCTTAAAAATATATTCTAATGCCCTCCCTATTAACAAAAATGTATCTTACTTGTGCATCATACCATAATAGAAGTCACCAGCACTCGATGTGTGCAAGAAGTAAAGCACTTTTTATTAAATTGTCACATGCGTCGTACAGCCAACTTTTCGGTGTCACGCAGGGTCCCTTCTGGGCGACATAGTGACCACTATGTTGCCCAGAAGAAGTTACCCTGCGTGAGTCCAAAACAATTGCTGTATGACGCATGTGACGATTTAAAAAAAAGTGTTTTACTTCTTGCACACATCGAGTGCTGGTGACTTCTACTTTGGACTGTATCTGACACGGCGCCATCAGTGTTGTCACTTCAAGCACCAACCTTTCATCCAAGGTCTGTACGCTGTATGGAGTGCAGGTGATTTCATATCGATTACTTGTGCATCACTCGGCTGTAGATCCTCAAATCTCTGAATTCATGCTGACACTGTCCTTCCTTCTGGAGTGTGCCAACTTTTGTTCGCCATGATCCCTTTGTGTTGTAAAGTACCCACTGCTCCAAGCTCGTTCCTCTGATGGACTACATTCTCATGAGATTGTAGTCCATCACAGGAGTGAACTTGGAGCGGTTGCTACTTTACAACACACAGGGATCATGGCGAACAAAAGTTGGCACACCCCAGAAGGAAGGACAGTGTCAGCATGAATTCAGAGATCATTTGAGCCAGGTGATGCACAAATATGATACATTTTTATGATATTTACAAGATTTGACTACTGAGTTTAGTGTCACTTTAATCATAGACCCTGGATTATGTGCAGCAGCCTTCAGGTGATTTAATACTGTCAGACAGAACTGAGGGACAGCCCATATAACTCCTTCCACTCCCAACAATTCTCGGTTTCTTTCTAGTGTCCTTAGGTGAAGGACGATTTCTCTACTGAGAGCAGGTTTCCGGCCTATTTCTACATCCTGTCCAAAGAGCACTCTTACCTCAAACATTTTCCCGTTGACATTCTTTGGGTTTGTTGCATCTCCTATGGAAGATGCAACACTTTCTGGGATGGATCAGCTCCGTCCAGGCAGGTTTTCCCCTAGCTTCCCAGCAGCCATTTTGGGCACATGCTCTGCAAGGAGCAAACCGCACAAAAAAGGTTGTGAGTACACATCAAGGGATCCGCTCACCAAACGGACGTCAGGCCAGCACTCGTACAGAGGGCCATTATAGCGCTAACTCTGTTCCCAGCACTTAAGACCTTAGTCAACACTCCTCAGAACCCTTCCTTTTTCCCTTGGATACTCCCTTCTTCACATTTGTTCCTTTTCAACTAGAGAGGAACTGCCATAGGGAACTAATGGGGAAAGTCTTTACTCTTGTAGAAACAGTGGGGTGGAAAGGGAGTAAGTGCCTTGGGTTGCTGGTTGGCTCCACAGTCAGACAATTTACTTCTAAATGAAGAGCAGTGGGAATCCTTGCAGGACTCCGATAGAGGAGGAAGGCCAGTATTTAAGGCTTTATTTACTTTAGGGAGTATAGCCATGCAACATAGTATAGTGTCGATGACCATTTGCTAGACCCTTGCGGTTTGGACCAAATGCATGGCAATTGGCTTGGGATTGATCCTTACAGATCCATTAGTTTAGAAGCTGCAGCTCCTTCTAGTTGCCTTATGCCTACTGCATTGACAGCTTTGTAGGTTTCTTGCACCAAGTTCTTGCCTGACTCTGTCATTCCAGATGTGCTGGATCTTGTGGCTTGAATGCTGGTCTCAGTCTGCTAGAAATGGCTAGAATTCCTCCCATTTGATGGGACTCTGGTAAGTCTCCGGGCACCTTTATTAACTACTTGCTGTCCAGAGCAGTTTCAGAATATTTGCAAACAGATGAAAATAATCTGCATTTTTGGCTAGAAAGCAGCTAATACACATCACCTCCGGGTCCAGTGATCGGAGGAGAAATCGACTAGAAGCTTGCGGATCTCCCTCTGATCTGTGAGGGGAGATCCTCTGTGCAGAGCCCGGGGTAGCTGGGGGGCACACATTCCACCGCACAAGCGATCCGGCGCTTATATCTAAACAGCAACTGCCCGCTTTTTAAAATGATACCAAAAATGTGTTCTTGGTATAACCGCTTCAGGACCAGGACGTATTTTGACGGTGGGCGGGCCTGAAGTGGTTAAAGAAGTCACTGTTGGGAAGAGTACCAAGGAGACAGCAAAGGTCCCTGCAAACAAGTCAACTGCTCAAGGCTCCTGAAAAAGATCCCTGTGTCCTTCTCTGGCTTCTACTTCCAAGGCAAAGCACTCCATGCAGTTCTGTCAAATCCTGGACACCAAAACCTGGCACCAAGCCCACTCAAAGTGGGGGGCACTGTCTGTTGGCTTTTTCGGCCACATGTTTACAGGACCTTTTGGTCATGGACATAGTATCCTAGGGATATAGACTGGAATTTCAGTGCTTTATGCTTTCAAACTTCCCCTAATTTTTAAGGAGACTGTGAGTCCGCTCTCCTTGAGAGTGATTGCTTCGGTTTCCCAGGAGGAATGGTTCCAGGGGTTTTATCCAAGCCCAATTAAACGTTTGTCCCTCCCTGGATTTAAAGGTTCTCAATACCAAAATTTCAGCATGGAATTATTTTTTGATGTATATCTGCATGTCCACATTTTCCCTTCTCATTAGCTTTTATAACGCTTTGCGATGGAGCTGCATTTCCAGTTAGCGGCTCTTCCCTTTGACCTGTCTACGCCTTGTCCCCTCCCCCCAGACCTTTACCAAGGTACTGACCCTGGTTCTTGCATTGCTGCGATCTCGGGTAATCCACATGTGGGTTTTCTGGACGATCTCCTTCTGTGGGAGCAACAGATCCAGATGTTTCCGGTGGACCTTCCATCCACAAAAATCTCCATTGGATCCAAACATTTGCTTGGAGTACCTAGGCCTAGTTTTGGATGTGGCCCAGGCCCTGGTTTTTCTTCCCAGGGAAAAGGTTCTGACCCTCCACTCCAAGGAGCAACTTTGGTCTGGTTTTGCAGGTGAGTTCTGCGCTTAGTGGTGGCCTCCTTCTAGGCTGTGATGTTTGCCCATTTCTACTCAGGGCCCCTTCAGCTCATCATCTGGCTGCATGGGAGTAGTTCCCCCAGTTTCCAGATTTGCACCATCTGCCTAGCCACTGAAACCAGGATCTCTTTGACCTGCTGGCTGATCAGCCGTGCACTGGAGGCAGGGAAGTATCTTCTCCTGCTGGCTTGGACAGTGTTAACAGCGGATATTGTCCTGGGGAGCAGTTCTTGGGATGGAAACGGTCCCAGGGACTTGGTCAGCAAGGGAATCTTCATGGACAGCAGACAAGGATTCAGTTGGACAACGCTATGGCAGTGGCTTGCATCAATTGTCAGGGCAGTACCAGAAGCAGGGCAGCCAAAAAGAAAGCGGACTTTTTGCCTGGGCCAAAAAGGAAATATTAAGGCCTTGTCCACATTCCCGGAATAGGCAATTGGCAAGCGGACTTCCTCAGGTGCCAGATCTTGCATTCAGGGTTTGGTTTCTCCACCTAGCATCTTAATGGAACTCTGTCACCGGTGGGGAATGCCAGGCATGTCCTCTTTGCGTCCTTTTAACCACTTGCCGTGAATGGCTGGACGGCAGCCTTATAGGAGCAGGAGGGCGTCTTAAAGGAGAACTATGGAGTAAGTGTTGTTTTTCCCCATTGTTCTCCTCAGGGTCATGGGAGGACATAAACTAGCGTCCTCCCTTGACCCAAAGTTCAGTATATTGCGAGCTACAGCTCACGGTATACTGAGACCGCTGCAGCCGGGACGGATTCCGACATTACTGTCGAGATCCACCCAGCTGCGTGAATGACAGCTGGCTCTGCCTATCTAGAGGCAGAGCCAGCTGTACCCGCCCTCTCTCCTGTTCATTCCGCTAGTCAGCGCTGGAGGATGGGGGGGGGGAATCCCTGCAGGGAGCCATGAGTGACAGTCACGGCTCTCTGCAGGTAGATGATCAAGAAGTGAGCGAGTTACGGTATGTGTTCGCTCACTTCCCGATCTTTTGAGCTGACGTGTGATGGTTTCATTTTCACACGTCGGCTCGAACTATGAGGTTGGGTGAAAATCACTTGCCTCATAGTTCTCTAAGACGCCCTGCCCCTCCCCCGCTCGTATGCGGCACTCAGCGCGCACACGAGTGGGAAACTGTTGGCAATGTAAACAGCCAGGGATGGCTGTTTTACATTCAAGCGATCAGGTGTCTCTAGATTTCTTGTACTAGCTGCGGGTGTCTGTTACAGGGGGATCAGTACACAATCTCCCTTTGATCTCCTCTGCTGTCCCCGAATGCAGAAAGTGATGTATATTACATCACTTCCCCTTTCAGTGTCACTCCGGCAACGGATGCCGCTGAGAAACTGCTGAAGCAGATCTCTGCTTCAGCTTCCTTGGCGGTTCCCCAGGTGACATTAGGGGTCTTGGAGACTCCTGATGTCTCCATAAAGAGAGACCTGTTATGTGAATCTCGTGTAGACCAGCGCTTGGCCTTGCGTACTATCAATGGCATAATCTCAGCCTTGGCTACTCATAGGCCACCCTGTTCACAGTTCTGTCTGCAAGTGTCCCTTCACCTGAACGTAGTAACATATAATCCACATTCTATTAAAGTAGCCTGTGTTCTGTTCTGTACTCAAAAGATTTTACTTTTTTTTTGCATAGCTGCCGTGTTGATGTATGTTATTATTTCCACACTTATTGAATTCTCTTGCGTGGAATTACTCTGTAAACACATCTGAACCTAAAATATACAGCTCCATATAGAGTATATAGCCATAGTTCTTCCAACTGCTCGGAATTGTACTTTTTTGTGCAAGAAAATCCTGTAGTTATTTTGCAGACAAAACTATGGAAGCCAGTGTGAGTGAGAAGTAGCCCTATGGCAGTTTAGTGTTGATGTGGTTAATATTTGTAGAGGGTTAGGGAAGTGATGTGTAGTACATGGGTGGAGCCTCAAGCCATCAAGAATCTGGGGAATGAGATGCAATGGTGTAAATGCTAAATGTATAGGTGTGCATGGTGGTGTGTGCTTAATGCATTGGGATGAATGGTGGGGTTTTCCTGTGTTGTTACCTGTGCTGTGCACCACATATTCTAGCCCTGTACCCTGTGCTGTGCACCACATATTCTAGCCCTGTACACTGTGCCGTACACTACATACTCTGTACACTCATCTATTATATGCTGGATTACTACAGAAGGTGTACTTATCTCTTGGACTCCCAAATGCTACCAATTTGAATTATCTTTGCATAATTTAAAAATGCAATCGGTTTCCCCTCACTCTGATTTTCCTTATCACCACAAAACAGTGTCTCATTATTCTCTGATTTAGCTCTGACAAGTTTCAGGCATCTTCTAGTACCAGTTGTTCTGGCTGGATGGCTGCTAGTTATTGTTAGAAATTATACCTTGATTAAAGCAAGATACTAAACAGAGCACGCTATTTCTGGCACTACAAGGATGAGTGCAACACCCGTAGCAGTGAAGGGCTCCAGTGGTATACCCTTTGTAATATCCCCATTCGCACACTGTACCGTTGTACCCCAGAAAACAACAGGTGCTGGAACAACTGGTGGATGGCACCACAGTATACAATCTAGAAGATATGTTGTCCGCTCACCATTATGCTTCGGAATGTCATCTTCGTATTCCTTTAGCATGGCATGCGAATGCAACTTTTCTGAGCCTCACAAGACCCCTCCGTCAGACACTTTGCCTGACGAAGGGGTCCTGTGAGGCTCCGAAACATTGCATTCACATGTCATGATAAAGGAATTCAAATAAAGAGGATATCCTGAAGCAGAAGGGTGTGCGGACAACAGATCTACCAGTTGTATACCCCACTCCTTTTTCTTCCCTCATCGTCAATTCATTTTTCCACAGAATACAAAGGCATTCTGTGAATGGATAAGGGAAGATTAAGTCATGCGTCTGCCCATAGTATACTCAGTCACTTGAGTGGTTTGCAAGATAAATTTTTTTCGGAGTTCAGCATTAAATCCATCACTGGAAGGCCAGCGTAGAGTTATGTGCTGCAATCTGAGTTCTCTTTTGTGCTTGCTGTAGGATGAATGCTACCAGGTGCGACAGATCTTTGCTCAGAAGTTGCACAAGGCTTTGGTGAAGCTGCAGCTTCCACTTGAGTATATGGCTATCTTTGCCCTGTGTGCCAAGGACCCGGTAAAAGAAAGAAGAGCTCATGCAAGACAGTGCTTACTTAAGAACATCACCATACGACGGGAATACATAAAGCAGAATCCAGTATCAAACGGTATGTTTCACCTCAGCTTTTACACACGTATAATAGTCATAAATGTGTCACATTTTACTTGGCGTAGAGTCTTCTCCAAATGCTTTTTATTTGCATGCAGATCCTTTTTTTTTTATCTCCTTTAATTGTGAAGTTGATACATTGCAAAAAATGAACTTTATTTCACTTGATTTGTTACTTTGATATTGTCTCTACAGATAAGCTGTTATCCTTACTGCCAGAATATGTTGTACCGTACATGATTCATCTCCTGGCTCATGATCCAGATTTTACAAAACCTCAGGATATTGACCAACTTCGTGATATCAAAGAGTAAGAGTATTCTTTATGGGCAAGGCTGTCCTAAACTTAAATTACATTTATGCTTCTGCGTTTAGTCTAAAAATGTATATGGGTTTTGGACTATATTCCTGAAAGCTGATGACTGAGGAGATGTGTCTAGACCAGAGGTCTCAAAGTACCGCCCCGCTGGCCACTTGCGGCCTGCGCCAAGTGGATACTTTCACCCCAATAAGGATATTGTTTTATTTTTCCTGTGTTCAGCAGCAGTTCAACCTAAGGAGAAATCTCTTCATAGATGTGGTGATGGCCATCTGGGTTTACCTTTCTGTATCTGCTTCCCAGAAGGTCCTAAAAGAGGTTCTATAGCTTCCAGATCAGTTATTTCTTAGCAAAAGCAACAGGCATGCATATGAATTGCTAGATAGTGTCTCCTTTTCATGTGATAGCACACTCCACTAGAGCAGGGAGTGTTTCCTGGGTCCTTTATCACCCGGCCTGCAACCTGGTCTTCCAAGTGTACCTCTAAATATTGAAAGGTTGATATTTCTGCAGCTGCTATTTTTTGATCAAAAGGTTCTGCAAGCAGCTGATTAAAGTTCTTTGTTTCCTTTTTGTTTTGAACCATTCTTGTTTGGCCCGTGATGTTTGCGTGTACCTGGCCCTCAGTTTAGACTACTCTTAGATATCGATAGGTTCCTTACTCTGTGTCCTTCAATGGATGATTGACGAAATGGGATGTTTGTGCTCACTGTAAATTTATTTTCTTAAAATCTTTTGAGAACACAGCTCCCTCTTTGCTATTCTCTCTTTTTGAAACGCATGCTACAATGAGCAGGTTTGAGGAGGGAAGGGATATAGCCTCGAGCGGGCTGGCCTAAAGGATACGTGCTTTCTGTCTGTCAAGCGGTGTTCTCAAGTGGGCCCTGGAGAAAAGGATTATGTCATGCATGTGACAAGCTTGGCACTGCACCCCAGACTTTGGTTCAGTGTTTGTTTCATAGTAGAACATGTATTCAGTGTTGTGCATGGTATAAATTGTCCTTTGTTTCAATTGTCATAGATTCTTACCAATGCATTATTTCCCGATACAGGTGCCTTTGGTTTATGCTTGAAGTTTTAATGTCTAAGAATGAAAATAATAGTCATATGTTCATGAAGAAAATGTGTGAGAGCATTAAACAAACTCGGGATGCTCAAGCACCAGATGATCCCAAGGCTAACGAAGTATGTATTATCAACATTTTATCTCTATAATTTTAGAATATTGTGTGCGTAGGTGTCAAATGTTTGCAGTTTTCTATAAAATGTCTGGGAAGGGTATAATTCAGAAGGCGAGCATTGGCTTGCTACTGACATTCAAGAAGCAAATAGTTGATAGTGTTTGTGCAAATTCTTTGCTCTGTGCTGCAGGGGCATGGAATGGTAGTGAGGTACTGTGCATGTCCTCTTCTGTGTCCCCTATCGGAATAGATCTATTGAATGAGTGCAGTTTGCCATGATTCTGCACCTTAATTCTGCACCTTATACTTAAAAATATCACTAAAATTATTTTATCAAAAGGTATTTAAAAGGCATTAGCCAAGCTGTATTATACTGTATGATATACTGTATAGGCCGCCGTAATATACTGTATAGGCCGCCGTATTATACCGTGTGATATACTGTATAGGCCGCCGTATTATACCGTGTGATATACTGTATAGGCCGCCGTATTATACCGTGTGATATACTGTATAGGCCGCCGTATTATACCGTGTAATATACTGTATAGGCCGCCGTATTATACCGTGTGATATACTGTATAGGCCGCCGTATTATACCGTGTGATATACTGTATAGGCCGCCGTATTATACCGTGTGATATACTGTATAGGCCGCCGTATTATACCGTGTGATATACTGTATAGGCCGCCGTATTATACCGTGTGATATACTGTATAGGCCGCCGTATTATACCGTGTGATATACTGTATAGGCCGCCGTATTATACCGTGTGATATACTGTATAGGCCGCTGTGTTATACCGTGTGATATACTGTATAGGCCTCTGTGTTATACTGTATAGGCCGCTGTATTGTTTTCTATAAACACTGAACCAACCCGGCCCTCGACTTGGAGCATTTTTTAAATTTTGGCCCACTGTGTATTTGAGTTTTACACCTCTGCCCTAAAGGATCCTTTCACTGCCAAGGCCTTTTTCTTTTTTTTTTTTTTTTTGCACACACAATATAATCCACATTTTAGGCCTGAAAATTACTTAAAACCCCCAGATATTTAATATTTTCTTAAAAGCCAAGACACTAGAATAAAATGGCAGTTGCACATTTTTATGTTGCACGATATTGGGGCAACTCTTTATCAAACCCAAAAAGTTACCGGCTCGTAGAAGCGATCTGGCAGCAGCTGAGTCGCCAGAATCGCTTCTATTGTAAAGCCTACAGCTGGCTTTACAATTGTAACCTGAGTACCTGTTTAAACGGGTCCGCTGCCAATGACATACTATGGTCAGTAAGGGGTTAAACACTTTTAAATGAATCTCATAGGTAGACTGACTGTGCAGATGCACATCATGTAGTCCCAGCAGGAGCACGCATCCTAGGGTGATAACATTGGCCAGAGAAACATGAATAGAGTGGGAGCACCATCCAGTGGCTGTTAGACAGTGAGGGGAATTTATCAAAACTGGAGCAGCTGTGCATGGCAACCAATCGGCAACTCTTTCATTTTCAAATCCTAACTGAAGAGAGAAGCAGATTGGTTGCTGAGCACAGCTGCTCCAGTTTTTGTCTGCTCCAGTTTTTGATACATTCCCCTCGTATGTTCATACTCCTGAATAGTTTAGGTGTTAAGTAAATTGGCATGCAAAGCATACCTGGCTAAACGTAAAATCTATCAAATCTTATTGACAGTGTGGCAGCATACCCATGCAGGTATGTTTGTCTTTGAATGCTTCTGTTTTTATTTTGTTTGCTCCTGTGTCTGTGTAGTATTTGTATACCAGAATATTTCGTATTGATCAAGAGTATGTATTCAGAGTGTTACACTGAAACAAGTGGTGTTGAATTATGAATTTTACAAACAGCGTTGTGTTCTGGCTTCTTCTTAGAAATTGTACACAGTCTGTGATGTGGCTCTCTGTGTTATGAACAGCAAAATTACAACAATGCTTCTAGAGTCGCCTAAGGAACCAATGTTGCCAGCTAGGTTTTTTACTCCACCTGATAAGGTAATATTTTCTGGTATGTTTTATATTTGTTTTCAATGAGGCATGTATAAACCTAGACTGTTTATCCTTAAATAGATTTTTTTTATGCCTTTTTTAGCTATATTATTTTGAAATATACAAGCTTTGTTTTAAAGCTCTGTGTTATGGAGTCCTGCGACCAGTCACAGCTTTCAGTAGCAATCACTGACCAATCACTACCGCTTTGACTGGACTCTGTGGGGCAGATCTCTCTAAAAGCAAATGGTACGGTTTATTGAGCTGCCTTTTAACAGAGGCACCTCAAAGCAGATAGTACAAGTCCATTGAGCTGCCTTTTTACAGAGGCACCTGGCAAGAAAACATAGGATCAACTCTCAAACCAGTTGCAATTGAGTTTTTTGATGGATGCCATAAGGAAAAACAGGAGAACTGCTTCTAAATAGATTGCTTTTGGATTAGCCTGTTTTCATGGCCAAGGAAAACTATTGCTGATCTGAGCAACTGTGGTGGTATAACATGCATCACAGAACACGGAGTTAATTCTGAAACTAATGGATTATGCAGCTACCTTCTGGTGACTGGGCACTGGCAAAACAAAGCTGAACGGACAGCCCTGTATAATCCCTGCCACTCCCATCATGCCTCAGGTTTTTGTTGGTGTCCTTGAGTGATGAATGCCTTCTCTCTGCTCTGAGAAAAACGCATCCTTTTTCTGCTCAAGACTCTAGCAAGTTTTCCTAAGCTGCTCACACCCGATGCAGCACCTAACAGCAACTATTAGATCAGTTATTTCCTCGGCAGAGCCTTAGTGGACTGTGCTCAGACCCCACTGCAAGGAAGATGCATGCATTACTACTACAACCTGTTCCAAAGTGAAACGTGGGGTTTGCCCTGTTATTGTTCTGAAGACCCTTAAAGGGGTTTCTTTTGGGTCCAAAAGTTTTGTTTGGAATCTATGCACACTGTCATTGTATCCCTTCATCTGGGTCATTTCCTGGCCCCTGTGAACATCTGGGACACCTATTTGCACATCCCCATGTTTCCTGCCCACCTGCGTTACCTGTGCTCTGCAGTGGGCATGCAACACCGCCAGTTTGTTGCCCTCCCATTTAGGCTATGCTTGGTACCATGTGTCTTTCAGAGAAACTTTACCCATATCTTCCAAATAACACACAACTTTAGAAATGTTTAGTAATGACAATCTACAAACAGATACTTCTAGATAATCGCAGACTTTTTTGCATACTTTTTTTATTTTCTTCCCCAGTCTTCTGCCATTTTAATTAAGTGCAGGTTACTAGATCTCCCTTTACTTCCTGGAACTCTGGCACACATTACTAGGACATGTGACCATGCACATTATCTCAGGGGAGGCAAATGCCTTGCAATGCTCTGCTGATGCAACCTTCCTAGGATGCAATGTTTGGGCATATTGCATAATTTGTGCCAAGGTAGACCAGGAAGTGGGGGGAAAAAAGAAATTGTAAGTAAAAAAAATATGTCTAATGAATTTAAGATTTCATGTCCGCCTGCAGAGCTGTATGCTGCTGTGATTTTAGGTGAAAGGGGTTAATGGTCCACTTTAACCAGCCAATGAGTTGAAGGTTACATTTTCCCCTGGTTAAGGCTCACTCTACTAAAATAATTAGTGCTTCTGTGGGCTTCCAAAATCAGGCTTGGGTATCCGAAATCTGTAAAGCTGCCACCTGGTCCTACTATTCACATTTTTTACAAGTCTTCCCGGGTGGACATTCAGACCTGCAGATGCAAGCTTTGGCTGCAGAGTTCTCCAGGGAGTCCTCTAACTTGTGGGTCCATTATGTTATTCCTTGTTGGAGGTAGTTGTGTTCTCTCACGGATCTGTAAGCTGTTTGCTTTGTTGCCCGCCCGTTCTGTTGGACTGCTTTGCTCCCAGAAATTAACTTCCTGTGTTCTGTGATGTATGATCAAGAAAACAGGATTTTTGCGTTACTTGTATGGTGTTACTTGTACAGACAATATAACGATAGTAAATAGAATGAAAATAGAAGGTACGTTTTATTTACATTGACCCAGCTCAAACTCTGCACCTCCCAAAATTGATATTCAATGGTCTGCTCATTAGGGGATTCTACACAAAGTACAAAAATCCAAATCGTTCACATTTTTTTAATCTTTTTTTTTTAAGGAATTTATCAACGACAAGAGCTACATATCTGAGGAGACGAGGGTTCATCTACTAACAGGAAAGGTAAACATGTAAAGCTGGCCTTCACGCACATGTAGAAAGCACAAACTTAAATGCACCTCTATAGTCATTAAAATATGTAGGGCACGATGAAAGTTCAACATGATGAATAACTGGAAGCATAAGCAGTACATCCAGGATTTGAATGCCTGTAAATCAAGATGGATGTTTTGCTGGTGTTTCTATTTCATTCTAATAGGTGGGTTCTTTTTAGGAGGTAAAAAAAAAATTATGTATAAATCTAATGTCACTATGTCCACTGAGGCGTTCACTTTATCATTTTGTGTGTGGGATGTTTTCCTTTTAAGATATTATTCTGTTTTTCGTAAAAATTTCTTTTTCCGATGTGTATGAAAGATGAGCTGTTTGCCTAACAAAGTTTTGCTTTTCTAGCCAAAGCCAACTTCCGTTCTCGGTGCTCTAAACAAGCCTTTATCAGCCACTGGCAAGCGGCCTTACCACAGAGGTACAGGATCAGACAGTGGATGTAACACCAGCGTGATTTCTGAATCTGACTCTGTACGACAAAGGTAAATTCTAACCTGTTGTTCTTTTTCTTGTGCTTTACTACTGGACTGCCAGTAGATATTAGATGATGGCCCCAAATGACCAGCCTTTAGGAATAAAGCGTTAGGTGAAACTGCCCAATTACCAATGATTCCCCAATATTAAACCAGGACCACCTGCGAGGTGTGCGTTCAGATGTATTTACCATGCATTTGAGTTTAGTTTGAGACTCCTCAGAGTTTCTTAGAAGCTTCGGAGCTGCGCTTGACCTTCTTTTAAGCTGCATCAAGCTGCTTCTGCATTCCTGTTATCTTGAATGGAGGGAAAAAGCAGTTCTGATATAAACCCCAACACTTAATTAACCAGGCTTGTCTGGCTTAAGTTTTCCAGCAGGACTAGATAAATTTTCTAGGAAACTACTTATTTCTAGATTAGATATGAGACCCAAAGTTTCAAATCATTTTTTTAAGAGTTTTGTCATTTGTTTGACTGTAGGGATCAGATTTCTGAGGTGTCTGAAACTGGGGTCAGTGAAAATGAAGAGAATCCTGTCCGACTCCCTGTAACTCCAGTCAAAGCTGACTCTGTAAAGACAAAGGTAGATCATTATCTCCATTTACTACTTTTATTTTGTTATAAGTGTTATATCTGCTGTGCTTCATCTGTAATAGATTAACCTATATTAATAGCTTGTATACTATGTCAGGCAGCCTAAAATTCCAGCTAAAGCTTTGTAGGGGCCTGTGTTGATGGGCTTTGGACTTGTGCAATGGCATCAGTTTGAGACACTTGTCAGATCATTCAGAGTTCATTGACAGGTGCATTTTACCAGCCGTTGATCTGCTCTTGAACTGCATTTAAGATGCTTAAAGCAGTCGACTTGTACAAGTCTACATCATCTTCTATAAAGCAAGATGTACTTTTTTTTCTTACCCATGAGGGAAATTTTTAGCTACACATGTGAATGTGGTTAGTATATTGCATATACCTTTACTTAATGTTTTAGTAGTCTTTCTCTTCTTGGTAACTGAGGGGTGTGACCTTGCCCTTTCAGGTAATAGTTTGTATAGACGGCGCCCCTTCATGAGGGGTTCATTTTTAAGTGGGTGAAGGCTGTTTTATGGTAAAGTTTTGTGTGTGGGATGTTTTCCTTTACGATTTTATTCTGTTTTTCTATGTGCATGTTGTGGAGTAAATGTTGGGTTTGACATTATAGCGAAGTTATGCAGAAGATTGCATGGAAGTTTTCTATGTAACATAGGATATCACTGTATCTTGGCAGTGGTTAGCAATCTAACCACTGCCAAGTTAGCTCCACTCCCGACCAGCATTCCACTGTTCCCAGATGCAGCCTTTACAATGTTTTGTAAGTGAGAATCAGTTGGATTATAGTGTGCACTTAACCCCCTAGGCTTATTACGGTGATCAGCTATTAGTAAGTAGTGCCAGTACAATACTTCCTGGTCAGCACCTTTTAATGGTGAGCGTCGGGGGGAGAGGGTATTGAAATTGAAATAAGTTGTTAGCGTGAACGCGCTGGACATGTTTGTTTCTGAAGTCTTCAGTGGACAACTTCTCCTCGTTGCTGCAGCAACATAGGGCGCAGGAGAGACGGGTATCTATAATTCTTTTCAGAAAGCCTTTCATTCAGGCCCCATCTCTCCTAAGCTTAAGGACACCATCTTGGTCCTCATCGACGCAGTGGACATGTGCTTGGCACTGGAAACACCTGTGTCCACTCAGTCGAAGGTCTGTATGGTGACACTAAAGATGCCCAATTTAGCTAAGATCTTCCCTGTACACTTGCTTATGGAGCACACTTTTGTACAACGACTGACCTCATCCTGAGAAACTTCATCTCCACCAAGTTTTGTCCCGTAATACTCTACAGTGGAGACTGGAGACATTGCAAAAAAAAAACCCCAAAAAGTAGGTGTTTCCCGTTGTAGACTCTTAACTAATCGATTATGAAAATAATCGTTAGCTGCAGCCCTACTCTCATGGTCCCTGTTGAGGATGTTCCTGTCCTCAAGGACCCGGGTGGGCAAAAGTTTAGAAGCCCTTTTCAAGGCCTCTTTTGCTCTAGCTGGTCTAGCTTTGCAACAGGCTTGGGTTAGATGACGTAGCTACAGTGCTTAAGAATTCCAGGAAAATGTTTTTATTAACCCTTGCAGTGGGGGCTACCCGTGCACTGCAGGGGTTAAGTGCTTGTTTGTAAGTGATAAAAAAAAAAGTTACTCGCCAGACAATCCAAGCTGGCTTGTTCTTAGACTGGTGTCTCAAGCATCTCTCCCCTTCTGCTGCAGAAGTCTAAGGATCGTGGTGTCCTCATGCTCTATACACTGTGCATAGACTGTTTATAGACGTGAAGATGCAGAGGAGCAGTCCATCTGTGCAGCAGAGGAGGCAACATGCTTTAGTGGTCACGGATCTTCGAGATCTGGGGAGTATAACCTTTTTTTTTTTTTTTTAAAGCACCTAACCCTTGCAGTGTGGGGGAAGCCCCAACTGCAAGGGTTGATAACATTTTTAATGGAGGAGTTCTTTAACTGCAGTAGAAAAAAGTCCGGTCACCATGCTGGCTGTGCTTTCTATGGGATAGTCTATATCCTTGGTTCTCAACTGGTGGGTCGTGACCCAAAAGTGGGTAGCGAACCCTCGTTCAATGGGTCGCCGCGTGCCTTCCACTTTTCTAGGTAAGAGGCTGCTCAGCCTCCCCCTAGCGTAGCACTGTCAGTTCTCGCGCCAAGCAGCCATTCAAATTATGCTGCCAGCTGTCGAGTGTTAGCTTGAGGTGGGATGGGGCTATGGCCACGAGGGAGCACCATCCATGCATGCATTGCTTACAGCTCACTCACGTGTCCTATAGAGGTCCCTGGACCGGAGTGACATCACATTCTGGCTCCCGACAGCTCTACAGGGCATGCAAGTGAGATGTACAAGCAATGCACATATGGAAGGAGCTCCATCACAGCACAACAGCCCACACTGGACCCCAGGCTGAGGATCCACTCCAGTTCTTGTAAGGTAGGGAGAATGGGTGGACCTTAACATTTTTTTTTAAAGTACACATTTTTTCACCGTGTGTGTAAATGTGTTTGTGGTTGTGTGTATGTATGTCAGTGTTTTTGAGGGCCCGTTCACATTAGTACAGTGCGTTAATCACGCAGTCCCGTGAGATTAATGCACTGTACGCAATTGCACCTACCGTGCATTCTGGTGTGGGAGGTGTGTTGTGTTGCCATCCATTTGAATGGTATCCCAAACTCGCCTCCCACCCGCAGTTTGAATGGCCGCACTGGAACGCGTGGTACCCTAATGCCGTGCGTTCCATTGCAGTGCGACTTGGGTCGCGACTTAATGACCAAGAACAAATACGGGTCCTGAGGTTACACAGGTTGAGAACCACTGGTCTATATCACAGAACTGTATGGACAGAAATATCAATTCTTTGGCAGGTAAAACCGCTCCCATTTATGTATTTCAATGGTGTATAGCTTTTTGCCCTGAAGTTCGATTTAAAGAAACAGTTTTTTATGGTTTTGAAACAAAGTTTTTACTAGCAGTCTTCCTTTTTAGGAGGTGAATTCAGATCAGTCTACAACACCTAACCCTGGTTCAGAGCGGGTTAAAAAAAGATCAGCACCATCACCAGGTTCAGAAAATATTCAGAAAGATTCCGAAGAGAAAAAACCAGATGATGTAATCCAGGCACCACCACCAAAGCCAAGAAGGGGGCGGCCTCCAAAGTCTGCATCTCAGGGTAGCGCAGCAAAAGATGACTCAAGCAAGCCGTCGGGAAGAGGGCGCAAGAGAGCATCAGCCAATCAAGACAGCTCAGCAGGAATCGAGGCCAGCAATGCGAAAGTACCAAAACACGATCAAGCAGCCAAAAAGACAGCACAAAGGCAGATTGATTTACAAAGGTGAGCTATGTGATAACAATTGCATCAAAATCTTTAGCGCTAAAAACTAAACAAACACACAGCTATCTTCAAAAAGTGCATACACCTACCTATACCATGTATAGAATGAATCGTTCACAACCCTCCCTCATAGACCCTCACCGTATATAGTGGATAAGTGTGTAAAAAAAAAAAAATAAGTATCTCCTAAGTCTTTAATATATCTATGATCTTCAAACAGCATGGTTCACTCTTTCCCACATCAGTGCTGTAGTGCAACAAATTGGAAACACACCAATTTTATTACCTCCTGTCACAGAAAGGTAAATGGACCTAACATATGCCTTTTCATTTTCCATGTTTTTGTCCTTTGTTACAACCAGTTAATATCATTTGACCAATCCTCTTCCTGCTCTCACTCACATGGACAAGATCCGATATAGCTATTCCTAATAATGCAAAATAAACCTTTATACAGCATAAATATGATTATTAAAGACGAATTTGGGTAAATTACAAATTAACCCTTGCAGTGGAGCTACCCCCACAATGCAATGGTTAAGCGCTTGTTTTGATCTAGGGGCTAAAATAAAAAAATAAATATATATATTCTCTTGGTCCAGCCTGCCTGCTAAACCAGTCCCCGCAGCCTATTCTCTCCCGGGCCGCACCGCTCTAAGCTCCGTTGACGTCCTTGCGTTTAATACAAGTCCATTGACTTACATTGGACGTGAGGATGCCAGGAGACATGCAGCCGAATCGGAGAGGGAGAGAGGTGAGTGGAGGATTGTGGATCGGTCAGCTTCTTTACTGCAGTAATGCTGATTTTCTGGATGATTGCTGAATGCATGATTTAATATCTATGCATTGTTTATATTTCTTGATCGTACAGGACACAGGAATATTCAGAGACTGTGTGCAATATGCAGGTATACAGTGATTGGACACTAGCCAGAGCTGTGAGGACCCTCATATAACCCCTCCCACTCCCAGAAATAGTTTTCTGCAAGTGACTTATGTCAGGGAAATATGTTTACCTTATTTTCGCTGATTCTTCAATCAAGTTTCCTCTGACTTTGTTCAGCTATAGTGGCAACTTCACAGCTTGCCATATCAGTGTCCCAGTTTCAGAGACTACACCCAGATCCCGCTGGATTGGAAGATGTGGTGTCAACTTGTAATGTTGTTGTGGGCACTGAATCCAGCATTGGTGTGATCCCGTGTCTCTCTGTGTGGATTGGAAATGCCCTGATTAAATATTCACTCCTTTTAAAAATGTTTGCCGAGCAATACCCTGTAGGGGGTGGCGGAGGTAGATGAGGCAATCAATTGCCTTAAAGATGTACTATGAGGTGAGTGTAATAGTTAGAGCTGACGTGTGACAATGAAACTGTGACACGTCGGCACTGTTGATCGGGAAGTGAGAGAAAACATACCGCTGCTTGCTCACTTCCCAATCGTCTCCCTGCAGAGTGTGGTGACTGTCAGTCATCACTCCCCGCAGGGATTGCCCCCTCCAGCGCTGACAGGAGGGGGCGAGCATAGCTGGCTCTGCCTCCAGATAGGCAGAGCCCCACTGTTCAATCAGCCAGCTGGGTGTATCTCAACAGTATTGTCGGAATCTGTCCCAGCTGCGGCGCTATCAGCATATATTGGGCAATAGCCCACTATATACTGAGTTTTGGGTCACAGGAGGACATTAGTATCTGTCCTCCCGTGACCCTAAAGAGAACTGTGGAGATAAAAAGGTTACCCCATAGTTCTCTTTTAAAAAATCCCTGGCCATACAGTGGAGAAGAACCAGAGGGGAGACCAGACAGCGCATCAATGCTCTAGAGCTAAGCGCAATTCAACACTCCTGCCAGCACTGAGAATGTCCCTTTCAAGGGTTCAGTCCGACAACACAACAGTAGTGGCATACATCAATCATCAAGGAGGAACCAGAAGTCATGCAGTGTGCACATTCCAATTGGCAAGCAAACTTTTTCAGTTAGCGGCTGGGAATGGTCCATACTTCCCAGAGTTTTTAATGAGTTTTGCTGTGCTGGTGAATGCTGCAAGTGCATCTCCTGGCATCCAGATTAAACAACAAACTGGTCAAATTTGTAGCCAAGTCCAGGGATCCGTCATCTTTTTGGCCCCCATCTGGCACAGAAGACTGTTACACAGGCTCCCCGTGGCTGTGCCCGGATCTTCTGTCTCGAAGTGTGCTACTCCATCCTGCTTCTTGTCCCTGGCTTTGACCACTTTGTTGTTTGAAGCCCATGTCCTGAGGAAGAGAGGTCTGTCTGACAAAGTTATTGCTACACTCGTAAAGTTCATGAAGTCCATCTCTCACAAGGTGTACCATCGCAGCTGTGGGGCTTACTTTGCCTGGCGTGAACAGCTTAAGTTTCATCCTCAAATTCTCTGTGGGACATATTTTGGACTCCAACTCCGGTTGGTTCAACACTTGGTTCTGAGTTCGCTTAAGGGTCAAAAATCCAGTTTGGTCATCGTTCCTTGATAAGATCTTTTATACAGGGGTCGTTCCTGTGGCTTCTCCTAGGGGCCCTGCAATGATGCCATGGGATCACAGGCTGGTACTTTAATAAAACCACCTTACCTTTTATTACCTTCGTCTGCACTATTGTGCAAGGAACCATTCTATGTTCAGATGAATCAGCAAAGGTCTAGGGGTCCTTCTCTCCCCCCCCCCCTAAGGTGGTGTCCTCATTTTATATTAATCAGGACATTGTCCTTTTTTCCTGCTCCGAAACTTCTTAGGGCGGTTTCTCTTCACTTCTTGGATTGGTGCGAGCCATCCGAGTTTATATCTCGGCTGGAGCTTCATTCAGACAATCTTTGTCCTTGCTGAAGGACCTCACAGGAAGCTTGCTGCTTTTCGTTCCATTTCTTGGTGGATTAGACAGGTTGTTGTCCAGTCTTTGTCCTTCCTGAAGGACCTCGTGGGAGGCTCTCTGCTGCTAAATCTAGGGCTCCTCCCTTTCTTGTGAAGGCAAACTACTGGATGTGTTGGTGCCCCTCAGGCTTTTCAGCTTCAGGCATCTGTGCTGGAGATTTGTAAGGCCGACACCTGGTCTTATGTTCATATGTTTGCCAAGTTTTACCAGATGGTTGTTTGGGCCTCTGCTAATGCAAATTTCAGCTGTAAGGTGCTACAGACTGTATCAGTTGTGGTTTCCCCTTGTTTCTATTATGTGGGCTATTGGTGGTGGTTTGCTGTATTGCCCATTCCTCTATCACTTTTGGATATCTCAATCTCTCATTCTCCCTGTGTCCTGTACTGTACCATAAAGGAAATAGGATTTTTGACTTGCGTGCAGTACAAGATGGAGCACACTCCCCTCTGTGTCCTCTATTGCTTGCTAAAAAAAAATCTGATGTTTTCTGGGAGTGGGAGGGATTATATGAGGGTTCTCGCAGCATCCAATTGCCTGGTAAAACCTGCATATTACCCAGTTGTCTCTGAATCTGCCTGCATCCTCTAATGTACTCCAAGGAACAGATTTTACTGGTAAGTCAAAAGTCCTATTTTTTTCGATTTCCTTTTTAATTTTAGAGATGAGTTGTCTGATTATTTATTTATTTTTTTAACACGTTACCTCAGGGGTGCCCATTAGGTAGATCGCGATCTACCGCTAGCTCTCAAAGCTGATGCTGGTAGATCACGAAGGGTGTGAATGGCGGCCCCTTTATTCCATTTTGGTATCTTTATTTAGCTGTGCACACATGATTACCTATTAGCCTGAGTCTGCTGAGCCAAGCTCCCTGACACCTTTCTGGTGGATACTGGTGGTTGAAGTGCTATGTATTACATCAAAGAATATTAGTTTACACAGCCTGTTGCAAAATACAGCAAGGTGAGCCGGGAGAGAGAGCGGTGAGAGACAGCCAGGGGAGAGAACATGGAGAGACAGCCAAGAGAGCAAAAAAAGACAGCCAGGAGAAAAATTGAGGAATGACAGCTAGGAGAGAGTAAGGAGAGACAGCCAGGAGGATGAGCAAGGAGAGACAGCCAGGAGGATGAGCAAGGAGAGACAGCCAGGAGGGAGAGAGGAAAGACAGCCCCAGGAGGATGAGCAAGGAGAGACATCCAGGAGAGAGAGAGGAAAGACAGCCAGGAGAGAGAGCAAGGGAGTTTTTTGTTGTTGTTGGTAGATCTCATGTAGCTCGTCATTTGAAAAGTAGATCTTAACACAAAAATTGTGGGCACCCCTGCGTTACCTCATATGTGCTAGTGTAACCTGTTTTCACAGACTTATCTATGTGCATGGGAAGGTTAAAAGAAACATTGTAAATTGTTCAGTGCCTTGTGATGCAGATAGAAAAACTGTTTACTATCTATTACCATGTGTTGCCATTACAATTCTTTCATCTTTAAGTTCAATTCTGCTGATGCTCAAGTTATGAAGGAGCAATGCTCTCTCTGCTTACGCTAGTGTTACTCTCTCCTGTTCACAGCCTCCTACACCTTTTAATGCATGTAAATGGGAAGAATATGATGTAGGAACATAAATAACACCGCTGCCTATTTTATTTATAGTAAAAAACCATTGATCCCAAATTGATCTTTCAGCAGTCATGTTAGTGAAGTACAGAAATCAAAGAAAGTGCACAGTACTTTTGCACACACCTTTATACTTTTATAGAGTTTATGTATAATAATGCATTACTGCACATTCTAGAAGCATTGTTATGTGTAAATGTGATGAGATTAGAACAGTCAGGTCACAAACCTGACTGACCACATGGCTTATTTTCAACCTTGCAACCAAGCAGGTTTGTGTTTACTGCTTGTGTCCAATGGAAGCAATATTTTCACTCTTAAATGTTACACTTCTTCCAGCAGCATGATCCTGGGCAGTGAAGGAGATTCTCTTTTGGAGTTAGATTCCAGCTCGGGAGAGGTTTCTAATGGTGCAGATGTAATTAATGCATTCCCCAGCAGCCAGGAAACAGAAGAACCACAGCTAGAGGTGGCAGGTTACTTACAGGTGCAGTTATGTAGATTCTTTAGAGTGTTAATGTGTTCAGCTTTTAACTCTTGTGTTTATGCAGTGTAACACTGATATATGTGAGGAACAACCCAAATCTCTAATATTCAGAGGCTTTTCCCATACTATTATTACATTAAGGGGCAGAGACATGCAGTGACATCGGAGTGTTGTGACTGGAGTAATATTTTATGAGACAAATAGTTGTAAGTTATATAAACCACACACGACTGCCAATGTGTACAGAAACCACTGGCAAATAATTATTCAGCTTCTAAACAATTCATTGCTTCTAAACAATGCAATGCAGCCTAGTCATTGATCAGAAGCCCTGCTCCAATCTTTCCTCAGAGACCCAGTGATTCCTTTGTTGGGCACTGCCTCTTAGACATTGTATGGACGTTAAAGCCAGGCTGCTAGAGTATAGGTAACCAATATTTTTTTCTAGTCTTCGGATGTTTCTGATACGAATATCCTCAACTCTAATATTTTGGATTTACTATCACTTTCTGCCTCAATTTACAAGTTACTAGATCACTCTGATCTTTCTCTTTTTTTTTTTTTTTACATGCAATAAGGTTGATTTACTAAAGGTAAACTGACCCATTGGCAAGGGAATTTGCACTTTGCAGGAGAAGTTACCATTGGCTTACTGAATGAGGTGAAGCTCTGCCGACTTTCATCATCCAGTCATGAACAAGCAAAAACATTAATTTGTTTGTAATTTTCCTTGCTTATGATTGGGTATTCTTTGCAAAGTAAAGTTTCACTACATTCACTAAGCTATGGGAAAATTCCCCTGCAAAGTGAACAGCCTATTTGCCTTTAATAAATCAACCACAGTGCCTGTGGGTATTTAACCCTTTGTTACGACAGACCTTGTTTGCAGCTGATGAGATCTGCCAGCCCAGTACAGACAGGGTTAATTACGTTACCATTAGTCAGCCCACCCCCCTTGCATTCCAGTGCAAAACTCAATACATAACATTTTTGTTTTTCAGAATAGAGCATGTACTGTGCAATTAAAAACAAAAACACTAGCATGTTTCTCATTCACATAGCATACAAATATAAAAGCACGTGCTACCCCATCTTGCCTCCAATAGTGGAAATACACTTGAAGCCATTACCACAAACATGACTCCAGGACATTTGAGTCCAATGTGGCTCTTTACGGCAACATGTTAATAGTTGGACTTATAATAATACATTTCCCAGGCAGATATAGACATGGGTAGACAAACACCAACATTGATATGCGGTAGGATTTTAAAGTGGGGTGGGTTGGGCTAATTAAATCATTCAGGTTTTGTACTCTCCCCTGCACTGAGCAAAACATAATAGCATTGCACTTTGTTGTACAAGAAACACGTCATTACTAAGCATGGTCTATTATATTTCCCCAGGTAAAAAGAAAAGTGCCGCACAAGAGAAAGAAATAAGCGTCTATAAGCAGGCACGCGCCACCTTTCAAGGCTTATTCCATTTTTTCTATTCGGAAGATGAACTTGCTTATACATCAGAAACTTTTTACTTTTATCAAAAATACATAAAATTGCAAAAAAAGTCACCTGTGAAAAACTTGTGATCACAAGCTTACCGAATTCTTCAAGATACGGTTTCATTTCCATGTAATAAAATTACACTCTGGTTGTATGGAGCAAAGAATAGGACTTCCCACATTACAATCCATGCTTAGTGGGCCTCCTTGGTTACCAGACTGTGCTGGGTTTTTGTTTTTCTTAATCTCTGACAGAGGTGTACCGTTCCAGGATGAGAGTCTACAACCAACTTAGGTCTCATCATTTTTCCATGCACATAGACTCCTACTTGGCAGATTTTAAAGTGTATTCTGCTAGTGTACATAGAGACATGGCTGCGGCCAGGGACAAGGGGAAAAAAAAGCTTGTTGAAGGAATGTTGCATTCATCTATTGGTTATTGTCTTATGTAAAATTGTGCTGCAAGTCTACTTTTTAAATAGAATTAATTGTACAGTTTTTTTTCCTAACAACTCCATACTTTGAGATTATCAATCTCTTGTGTTTTTCTTTCTATTCCTCTGCACAAATGGGGGAGCTGAATTATTTTGGTTCCAAAAGCAACATTTCACAGAGCAACATTAAATATTTCCTTCTGAGTTAATATAATATGGGATATGTGTACATAATAATGTTTGTGCTTTTTTTTTTTTTTTACCATATATCACTATCATAAAGCCCTTTTACTCAAACTCATGTTGGAATACTGTACTGGATAGCAAGACAGTCCGGCGTTTGATTTTATACCGTTGTTTGACAGATTTTTAACTGTAAAATAAGAAACCATTTTTTTCCAGAAATAGTCAAGTTAGGCAGCTTTATAAAGAAAATTCAGAAATGCTGATGCTTCGATTTTTAGAGGTTTTGCTGTTCTTAAAGTTCATGTCTCTCGTTCATCTTGGAATTATAATTTTTTTTTTTTTAGGTTAATAGGTGTGCACTCTGCATTTGTCGATGAAATAGTGGACACTTAAATGTGTGTGCCCAGTGCTGCCTATGCACCTTGTATGTACACATGGTCATATTTAAGTTTTGTTGCATACAATAAATGCTTCTAGGTGTCATGTTGTCTCCATTTTTTTCCATTTTACTTTCTCTTTTCATCCTCACCACAGTCCTGTCTACTTTCTTTAAAGTGAAGTTTGATCACTAGAAATTGTTTCTCTGATTTAGACAACAGAGCCCTTTATTTTACCAGTATATACTATTGCAGGAATTTATAGGGCCGGTAAGGTTAATTCTGTTCTCAGGCTTTATAATCTTTAAGTCATGGCCACAATTCTCTGCCTATGATGTCACAAGGCATTTACAGTACCTCTGTAGGCTGAGGATATGTGATGGGGCAGGGCATTTTGAGCACTACCTGATCCAGCAGGTGGGTGAGGAGGTCCTTTGCAACATTGGGGCATTCTCGCTCTTTTGCTTGGCGTAAATTAAAATCTGAAAGGGAGAATAATATCCCCTTTGTAACTGCTGCAGCTGGTGTGCTGATCTTGGAACTCAAGCTTATATTTTACCAGAAACGGTCCAGAGATAGAACAACTATCACAGTTTAAAAGGAACCTGTGACTGGTGGTATGCAGTGGCGTAACAATCACCATAGCGACCCAGGCGGCCACTATGGGGCCTGGCCAGATGCCGTGCGGGTCGCTATGGGATCCTCTGCTGGCGGCTGAAGACGAACACGCCGCTGTTCAGATCACTGTCCGTAATCTGTGCAGCAGTGCGTTCCTCTCCACAGAAATCACAGGGCCCCTTACAAAATTTTGCTATGGGGCCCCGTGATTTCTAGTTACACCCCTGGTGGTATGTTTTTATTGCTCAGTAACAGAAGTAGGGATGTACCGATACTAGTATCGTGCCGATACCAAGTATTGGGGTGAGTACTCGTACTCGCCCAAATGCTCCGATACCTAGCACGAGTACTTCCTGTATCAGGAAGCCGGGCAGCGCATCCTGATTGGCCAGGAAACGGCTCCATGCTCTCTCGTCACTTGTGATGAGAGAACATGGAGCCGACTTCCCGGCCAATCAGGAAGCCGGGTAGCGTGCAATGACGCGCTGCCCGGCTTCCCGATTGGTCAGGAAGCTTGCAAATCCGGGTGCCGTGTAATGATGCAGCGCCCGGCATTCTGATTGGCCCGCAAGCCGGCTTCATGCTCCCTCATCATTTCATGAATCATAATATTAAGAAAGTGACCTTAAAGCATTAGTTTGTATTGCTTTAGAAAAAATTTGACCTGTCCCTTTAAGAAAAAGTATAGGTAATTGGTATCTGCGAGTACTTGATCAAAAGTATCGGTACTCGGTCTTAAAAAAGTGGTATCAGTGCATCCCTAAACAAGCATGGCAGACTTGGATTTTTTTTTTTTTTTTTAAATGGTTAGCAGTAGCTACTTCTGTATTTCTAACCTGGCATTCACTTTCAACTCTATCTGTTCTACTAAATGGTAAAATATCAGTTTTGGAAACGTTGCAATTTAACAGCAGAGATGCATCATTTTAATTAGGTCTCAAACTGGTTGTTCTTTTCATTATTGCCAACTCTGGTTTTTTTGTGGTTTGAGGGTTTTTGTCTGTAGAAACAAGCAACTGGCACGCAGTCCGGAGGCATTGGGTATGTGACATCTGCCAAAGCCTTTTGTGAGACTGTTTGAGGAGAAGGCTGGTCATTGGCGTTGCCTGAAAAGCCTTAAGCTGGTCATACACCTATAGATTATCTGCAGAGTTTCTCTGGTCAGATGAAAAAAGTGCAACAGATTCCTCCATCTACGCTAAACTGTGCAGATGGAGGAATCTCCCACTGGGCCAAGCTTCAGTATCTTGCTGATCGGCCCCGCTGGCTCTCAAAATACCTGAACAATCTGATTGGCTGCAGGCAGGACCTGCAGCATATAAAATTTGAGAAGCCACCAGTACTTCCAAAATTATAATTTCCGTGTTCTAGTTCTTCTTAATCTTTAAGAACAGCCAAGTGTTTCTCATGAGAGCCTATCGCCAGTGAAAAACATTTTGCTTATTTTGTTCACTATGCCTGCAATACTATAATTGTATAATCTGGCCTTTGTATAGTTTGTCCTTTCATTGCATCCAATGCCCCAGAAAAATGCAGCAGGCTAAATGAAAATGAATCCAGGCCAACAAGTCTGTGGGGAGCACGCCTTATTCAAGCAAATGACAGCTTCTGATGTTCGCACTTCTCCTTCCCTGATCTCTTGATCCCTGATTGGTTGATATACGTAGCAATCTTTGTTTCCATTGCCCAGGGAGGTAGAAGAGTTCTGTTCTGGAATGCTGTCATTTAGGACTGTATGGGAAAGAGATTTATCTATATCGGTGTGACCTATGACATTGTATGATGTATGAAGGATAGTCTCAGGTTCTGCTTAACCACTGAGCCATTTACTCCCTATAACCTCCAGAGCGGGTTTTTTTTATTGTGAGACTTCTTGGATCTGCACCTTATACCTTTTTGTAGTTTTACCTTTTTCCCAATAGGCAATATTTTTATTTTCACAATGCAACTTTTATGTAATTTACTCAAAAATAAAACTGTTAGTCATCTGATTGAAAGGATTTTTATTTTAGTATAAGTATCTTTATTGCTCTATCTACTTTACATTGCAAAGCACAAAAGATACTAAAGATTTGCATAAATTCTTAGCATAACATTAAGTAGGGTCATAGAGGGCATTTGTAGCTCCGTACGATGTACGTCCTTGGCAGCGAAAGGGTTAAGCTGGTGACATTAAGATTGCAGTCTCTTCAATCCTGAATGTGATTGTTTGCTTTCATGGAGCAAATGTCATCCAACATCATTTTTGCACCATTTTTTAGGGGTCTGGATCATGTTAGTGGAGATCCAGCACCATGCAGATCAATTCTAATAGTGATCTTGTGCTGCAGTTGAAGTAGTGAAGAGTGTTTAGATCTTTAACTTAATTCTGGTGCCTTGACTTTCATTTTGTGCTATACATTGATCTAAACCTGTGTTATTAACACTTCAGATGCAGAAAGCATTCACCTTTGCTGATGGTTAAGGGCAGACTTAGTCCAAATTCAGTGATGTAGTTTGGGCTGATAGCTGCCGGCATCTGTCACTGCTGTGGATAGAGCAGACAATGATTGCCACCAGGGTATGGTAAGCACAAGATCTCACCTGGAATCTGCTTTGCCTGTCACATCTACATTGGTGGGTAAGTCTGTTTGCTTATGAAAGAACTTGGCAGTATCCCGGTTTGCAGCAGATATAAATCAATGTGCTCCTAGTTAGGTCATGGGCATTGAGTAGTTCTCATTTGCAGAGTTGGTCACTATTCTACACACAATCTTATTCACTAGGACACTGTAAAGATGTTCAAGGTGCAGTAAGATTAGAGCAACACATATGAAACCTGCCCGCGTCCTAACAAAGTGCCAAATCAGAACAGTTTAATGCTGGTGTTCTTTCCTGTCCAGACTCGGCACTGAGCTTATTTCTGCATTAACCTTTTGTGGAAGATGACTGGAATGAATTGGTTTTGTTAGCTGGTAGCTCCATCATCACTGCACATTTCCTTGGCTTATAGAATGCTCTTGCAGGTGTATGTATTTGAGCTACAAATGTCAGAATGTACTAGGTAGCTCATTCGAGCTACTTACTGCTATCCCCAGAGTTGCCTGCTCTTTATGTGAACGACAGGTTAGCATACCGGCTACAAACCTCAGCGTAAGGTGACACTAAACTCGGAGTTACACCTTAAAGAATGCATTCAAGTATATTCCCTATTAACAAATCTCCATACTTCACAACACATACAGGGTCCATGGGGAACAAAAGTAGCCCCCCTCCAGAAGGAAGGACAGTGTCAGCACCAATTCAGAGATGATTGGAGGATCTACAGCCGAGTGATACACAAATAAGATACATTATTGGTAATAGTTCGGGTACTTGAATGCAATTTTAAGGTTGAACGCCTGAGTTTAGTGTCATATGTGGCCCAATGCAAAGAAAGGGAAGATTTAGCTTTGCTATTGAAAGAAGTAGCACTGGCCCTTTCTTTTCATCCTAATCTAGAAAGCATGGTCTCTGCTATGGATTGTAATGAGTACATTTCTGCCCTGTGTCTTGCATCATGCTACAGTATTTCAGAATGCTGGGGTGATTTTAATATGAAATACAATAAGATTACATTACTCTTTCAGACATTGTGTATTTGTTCCATAACTCATTAACATACCATCCCGCTAGTCCGTTCTTACTCGGCCTCCTTTAAAAGAAACCTGGAGTGCGAGACATGGTCTGTGATTGTAGACCTCCTTCGGAAACGGCTGACTGGCTTCAATACCTTCACAAGTCTATGCACTGGAAGAAGCATGCAGCCAATGAAACCCGAACACATTCCAAATTCCTCATCAGCTTGCTCCTTTCTGATCAGTCACCCAGAAATAAATGGATCGGCATGGCAACCAGACAAATAACATTGGCAGAAGCAATGGTCAGCAATACTAACCTCTGTGTTTTCTCTTGGTACAAATTTGTTTTTATTTCAATATGCTCATCTCTTTTTTGGTGAGCTTTATAAAGAATTAATCCTTGTATCTTGTTACATGTTATTTACCACTTTCAAGACTTTTTTGTTTTCCTACATATATAAATAGAGCCTGTTTTCTGAAGGGAAAATAGCCATTTCTCCTTTCCCTGTACATAACTATTTAATAAAGTTCACTCTCTTCTTAACCTTGCTTCACATTTTAATGAAGAATCCCACTTAATAAAATACCATTTGTGATGTATGTTACTTTGTACAGCAAGGGCTTGGTTCTGTGTCCACATGCTATATTGGAAGACTCCTGTCTGTGACGCTACAAGTTTCTTTAGTCAGTCCCAAGTCAATTGTCTGCCCTATTCTTTCTTTTTTTTTTTAAACATTTCTTTATTAATTTATCTGCCCTATTCTTAATCTGAAGATCCTCATTTGGGTTCCTGCAAATCCAAAAGTTCCATATGGAATCTACCCATTCTGTTATTGTCCCCCTTTACCAGGGAGAGCTTCTGGCATCAATGGGCCTGGAGGATGTATAT